CATGACACATGACAGATGGTAGTGGTACGAGAGGGTGTGTAAATTTTAACCAATATTAAATTGGAACCAACTTCAAATGACATATAAGAAAACCAACAAGTTTTAGTGGCATATAAGAAATTCTCTTAGAAAAAACAGATACAAATATAGATCTGAAATTGTGTGGGAGACACATTTCTCTTAGAAAAAGAACAGATATAAATATAGATCTGAAATTGTGTAGAAGACACATTTATCTTGTTTAAATTAATTTGAAGTTCATGTAGATTAGCCCACACTCAAATTAATTATTTGATCTTTACGTTAGTTCATATGTTAAATTTGGTTTTTATATATACATCTCTCTCATGTGGAAATTGAATCTTAAATGCAGGTACCTGTAAACGCGGGGAAGGAGGCTGAGGGCAAGAATGTAATCAAGCAGGCTGACAATGCCTTGGTAGAGAAGAGGTAAGGATGCCTCTTTTTTAAACTTTTGAAGGCATGAATAACTATATTTTTAGATTAGATGAAGGAAATATATAGGAAATAAAGACACGATTAGTAGATATTATATTAATTGGTTCATGGTTAACTTTGTGTAACGTAAAAAAAGATGCACAGCTAGACAAGTGTGGCAGACACACTTCACGCATTTAACCAAACATATTTTGATTATGTTTTTTTGTGGATAATACATATATATTTGGTTATGTGAGTATATCTATCTGTCCTGTTTTCTATGATCTTGCATTATACATGTATGTTTTGTTTTAATTTTTTTGCACTAGCTAGCAATGTCCATTTCGTAGACACAGAGACTTACGTACAGTACATTGTCAAGGTAAACCTAGAATATATTTCACTTCGGCAAGTGCACCGATCATGCATGATTACGTGTCTTAAATTATTAGAAGATTTCAACTCTTTTTCATATACACGGTCTTGTGCCTATACATGTGTTGTTCAATTTTTACAGTACTAGCTACTAGTTGCAAATTTATTAGCCCAGAGAAAAAGTACTACCAGCGAAAAAATACATTGTTTAGTTAATAACGCTACTAGTTATATACTTATATTATGTTCTCACGATTGATGTATTTTAGAATAATACAACGAACTTGGAGAAAATGTTATGAATATTCGACAAAGCTATCTAGTTCATAATTACGTTACATATATATATATATATATATATATATATATATATATATATATATCTCTACAAGGCACATGCACAACACAACAATGTATATATGATCTCTCACCAATAATCTGATCATGCATTTGATTATATGTTCTAAAAAAAGTGTACTAGTATTTGATTATACATATATATATATCAGTAATCATTTGCTAGAGCCAAATTGTTTAATTTGAGTATATCAATGATCACAGTTGCTGGTACCGAGAACTCCGCTACACACACATACTTCTCGTACTAATATATGGTTGATTAATTTTTACCCCTACTAATGTCCATGCTCTTATGCAAATCTTTGATCTGGTAGTGCTGCCGATGAAGAACAGCCGGCGGTCGTCTTGCTGCCGACAGAGGAACGTCGGAAGTGCACAAGATACAGACGCGGTTCATCGACGACCAGACGGCGTTGTAGGGAGGACGCACACCCGGCTACCGCATGTGCCTGAAGCACATCACCGAGAGCCGCGAATGCTTGCGAAGGTGGCGGCAGCTGAAGAAGAAACTGCTCAAAGCTAGCGCCGCCGAGTCCGAGACCGCCGTCGTGTCGACCAAGACGGTGGCAGGAGGAGGAGGCCGGAAAGATCAGGTGGCCTCCACGGCGATGGCTTCTGCATCGGCTAGTAGTAGTAGGCCAATCCTGAACGGTGCGACGAAGAAGAAGAGGATGGCCGTGCCAACCTCCGGTGAGGATGCAACCGGAGGATCGTCATCGGGCGGTGAGAGCAGTACTAACTCATCGTCGCCGGCACCGGCACCGGCGCTGGCGCCGTAGGAGTATAGTTTGTTCGTCTCGTCGAGCTACTTGCCAACTGAAGCAGGTAGCTAGTGAGTACGTGGTGACTAGCGACGGCAGCTGAGGACATTGGCCAGCAGTGCTTGGACGTTTATCTTATGGGTTTTGAACTTTCGATTCCATCGATGATTACTATGTTTTGATTTTCTTTCCTGTAAACTTTCGGTTTTTATTCTATAGAAAATATTTTATTTGATTTTTCGGAATGGATTAGAGCATCACTAACAGATTATCTATAATTTTCTCCTAAAAAATTGTTTTTGAGTTTCCTAAACTGAAAATAGGAAGTGAAAAAACTCCTCCCTCCAACAGATAGCCTAAATTCAATCCCCAAAACTTAAAAGTGGGCCCTTCTGTTAAACTACCAAGAGAAAATTCCGTTTTTTTTCTTTCACATGCAGAAAGATCGCTATCTCCCACGCGCGGGAACGAAGGAGAGAGGCGGGATTGCGTGATTGGGAGCGACTTTCACGCCCGCATATAAACGGAGCGAGGAACCGGGGGAACGGAACTCCAAAACTCGGGTAGGAGAGTAGGGGATCTGTTGGAGCTGATTTTTGGACTAAAATCCTTCAAAATTAGTTTTGGGAATCATATAGTTAGACTGTTGGTGATGCTCTTACTACATAGTATTATCTATTTTGCAGTCAAATTAATATATATTTTTACTTCCAAACAACGCTGACAATAAAACCATATTTGATTTGCTATCAAAAGGTTGTCATGTCAAACATTAAACTTTACGTTGTTGGTCACTTTACTCCTTATGACCACATGTCGTCCATATTTTTTTATAAACCTTATCATACTTGTGGTGGCCACACATTATGCAGTTAATTAATAGAAGTTTATGGACAACAATTTACTGACAGGAGTAGTGTCCTTATAAAAAATCGCTCACAGATGTATCGTGAAATAATGTCAAATGCCAGAACAATTTTAGTGCATACACACAAAATTAATTATGAAGACAACAAGGAGGATATGGAGGGTAACGAGAAGGAAATAGTGATGACAACTGAACATGCTTAATTTAAAATGAAAAAGATATAGTATGCATATAATTGGCTTAAAAAGTACTATCATGGCATCATGAACTTATTTAGTTTCATAAGTTTATTTTAATAAACAACAATAGTTGAGGTTTCAAAAGCTTGACTAAATCTTGTTGTAAACGTCAAATATATATTTATAACTAGAAGGAGTATCTATGTACTATATATACACTTCTGCTATGAACTCAAAATTATAATTAGAAGTTTATCCTTGATTGGACATTAGATTAACTATATGTGTTCACAACACAAATTTCTTGCAAAATTGCAGGGTGCACTTTTGATTTGTGAAGATTGACCACTTCAAAAGCTTATGCATTTTTCTTATATATGTCTTCATATTGTTAAGTTGGATAACAAGTTCGATAGCAACCTAATGAAGAAAATACTGAGCGTCATTGAAGTATTCGAGCTTTGCAAGAAGAAAGAACAAACGTACCAGAAAATTACAACAAATATGCTCGAGCAAATGCAAGGCCGAGAAAAATGTTGTATGACCCTTGGGAGTTGGGAAGAATATAATGTTGACCTCGACATGGAGACAGATGATGAAGAAGACGGTGATAACGATTCAGATGGAGGAAATAATGAAAACTAAGCATACAAGGAAAATATCAGTACTATGTAACAAGAAAAAACTATTTGTATAAAATAATACTCTCCATTATACACAATTGTGCTACAAATCTAAAATTCCAAATAGATAATCTTACTTGCTACCCTTGATAGAACACTGCAGATGTTGTGTATGACCTAAAACACCAATTTCTTGTATCTTGAATCCAAAATCAAACTATTTATAGAATTGTCATAATTGATATGTCGAGGCACCATCTTATACATTTTTTTAGGATAATGTAAAACTTGGTTGTTGTGTCAAAGATGCACAAAACCCAACTGTCATGTTATTACAGTCATTCGACAAATAGTGGAAAAACCAGAACAAAAGTAACAACAAGTTTTCAACAATAAAACAAAATGACAAATTTCAATGCAATCGATCTAGAGCCCTTCACATATTTATGTGAGTTGAACATCTGCAAAGTTACCTCCAATTTACAGCTTTGTTGGAATATCCACTGAATGACAATCCTTCCTTTCGCTACTAAAAGGAAATAATTTAGCGTTGTCATATGTTGAACCTAAAATCATGCATGTAATTATATTCTAGGAAACTCAAATAGTCTTCAATTCAGCATAAACAAGAAAAAAAATCTCCTTAATAGAGTTTTAAAACATAGCAATCTATGAGATCGATAAAAACATAGAAGCACACATGTAATTTTTCTAACTAAAGGCACATCACTAGACGAGTGAGGAAATGATGGATTAAATGTTGTCTTCATATTAGGTGTAAATGGCAATCATATACTACATAATGATATGAAACTGCTAGGATGGCTATCATTGGTTAGCCATACTACATCATATATCTTGCTCACTCTTCTCGTTTCCATATTCTTATAAAAAATGTTTCAATTCTTAAACATGTGCAAGAAACAAATTGTTTCAACTACTATTTGACTCTATTGATATTTCAAATTGATTTTTCCCTTCGATGTTTAGCCATTGGGACCCTATGTAACGGATTGTTAGTGTTGCAATTAATATTTTCTGAATGTTGTACGTATTTCAAATGTTTGATATGAGTTGAAAAATTTTAACAAATGATGAAACATCCTTGATTTTCTTTTGCTTTGGATCGAGCATCTTGTAGTAGTGCTCTACTATTATTGTGACAACTACCATTGTTTGTTTTATTATATTATGTAGAAATTTTTTTTCCTAATTGTTGAGTCAAATAATGTTTTGTTAAAAAAAATCAGGACTTAAATTTGTTTTCAACATTTGCTGATGGAGTTAAAATGGTCCAATAAAATGGATTGAAGTCCAAAAGGTGTACTTTGTCAAATGGACCCCTGAGTCTGGTACGCACAAACAAATTTCGCAATATCGATCGACATCACCCTTTTTGGCTTAAGTTTGTTTATTTAACCATATAAACACAACATACATACCCAATCAATCACCATAGGCTTCAACTTCATGTGGCCCGACAAGTTTTGTTCCATTTGTGACAGGACACAGGTTCCATTTTAGCCTTGTAACTTTGTCACCCACTCTATCACCATCATTCATCAAACTTTGAATGGATAAACTACTGGTCTGATTTGAGATTTGTACGTAGTACTAAAATACTTTATCTGTTTTATATTATAAGATTTTCTAGCATTGTCTACATTCATATATAGGTGCCTAGATTCATTAACATCTATATGAATGTGGACAATATTAAAAAGTTTTATAACCTAAAACGGAGGTAGTATATTTCATTCATCTAAAATCATTTATATTTTGAGGTGGACGAAGCAATTCTAAATCACCCCCAGCTGGATCGATCGATCTGCCTCTTAACCGACACGGGCAGAATCGCATCACGGGCGCGCTGGCACCGGCACCGGCACGGCCTTGAGCGGCGTGACCATGTTGAGCGACGTGCCGAACCGGCCCCTGACGTCGACGTCGCACGGCCGCATCCCGCCGGGGAGCCGCCACTCGAACGCGTGGAGCAGCGACGCCAACACCAGCGTCACCACCCTCGTCGCCATCGGCGTCCCCGGGCACGCCCTCCTCCCCGCCCCGAACGGCATGAACTCCAGCATCTCGCCGCCGCGGAACGACCCGCCGGCCGCGACGAAGCGCTCCGGCTCGAACTCCTCCGGGCGAGGCCACGACGCCGGGTCGCGCATGATGGACCACACGTTGACGATCACCTTAGTGCCCCTGGGCACCGCGTAGCCGCCGACCGCGGCGCCGTCGGCGACGGCCTCGTGCGGCATCAGCAGCGGGCTCGGCGGGTGCAGCCGCATGGTCTCCATCACCACGGCGCTCAGGTACGGCAGCCTGCCGATGTCCGACTCGTCCGGGTGCGGCTTCGCGCCCAGCGCGTCGCGCAGCTCGGCGCGCGCCCTCGACATCGCCGCCGGGTGCCGGAGCAGCTCCGCCATCGCCCACTCCACCGTGATCGAGTTCGTGTCTGTCCCGGCGGTGAACAGATCCTGCAGGCCACGTACCAAAACGTGTTACTAGTTACTACTGCTTGCCAACTTCAAATTTTTATTAAAAAAAAATAAAAATCTGACAGCTTTGACTTAGGAACATATACATACTCTCAGGGTGTGATTGGCAAATGGGATATGGGTGTGTTTGACAAATGATATATGAAAGGTGGGATTGGGAAAAGGAAATGGATAAATAGCTAGGATTAAATGAGGTGTGAAGAATGAATGGCTAGAATGTAATACTGCTCTTTGAAGGGTCGGATATTATTTCCCAATCTCATTTGCCAAACAAAACATCACTGTTAAAAAAAAACTCTAACATCGACAAGAATAAGACATCATCTAGGGTGACAATGAATACACTTATCTAAATTCGTTGTATTAGGTGATGTTTTATCCTTACTCAGGTTGAGGCTTTTTTAGGTTGACTGGAATAAGCAAATTGTACATATGCATGCATGCATCCGTTGAATAAATTAACAAGTGGTTTTGCAATTTGTGGATCATACTTTGTACTGTTCGAAAAGTAAACAACGCCAGTTCGGTCAAAATTGATCAGCTCCTCCATACTGCTGTCAAGGTCAATAGATCTATAGAAGATTTGATCGCTGCTAAGAAATTTCAGAACCGGAAGTTTGGATAGTAATAGTTCTAACTAGTCCAAAAGTCTGAAGATGTAGACAGAAGATTTGATCGCTGCTAAGAAATTTCAGAACCGGAAATTTGGATAGCAATAGTTCTAACTAGTCCAAAAGTCTGAAGATGTAGAATTTTGAATGGATAAAATTTTCAATGACGTTGCACTAGTATTCAGTATTCAGTGAGCTAATGGGATTCAATCCAGATCAGTACTGCTCACTGACATATGGACCCGAGGGTCTGTGGGGCCCATATGTCAGTGAGCACTACTGTGAGGACGCTCGCTCTAATGGATTAAGCTTATACGCTTACCCCAAGAAAGGTCTTGATAGTGTCAAGGCTGAGCTGATCAGCTGAGTGAAGCTGAAGTAGCACGTCCAAGAAATCCTCCTTCCTTTCGCCTTCGCCGCCGGCGTTCTGACGGCGGCTGATGATCTCGTCGAAGAAGTCATGGAACTTCCTGATATGCACGGCGGTTCGCCGGCGGCGGCCCTGCAGGTCCAGCGCGGCGAGCACGGGGAAGAGGTCGGACAGGTTCGGCTTGGTGGCCTCCTCGACCGTGTCCCTGACGAGCATCTCCAGCTCCTGCGCCCGGTCGGAGCTCAGGTCGGCGACGTCCTCGGAGAAGAGCACGTTGGAGACGAGGTTGATGACCGCCGAGAACACGACGCGCCCGACGTCCACGGCCGCCGCCTCCTCCTCGCCGGCGCCGGCGGCGTGCCCTCGGAGGTGCTCGACCAGCTCCCTCACCTTCGCCTCCCGCACGGCGCGCGTCGCGTCGAGCCCGCGCGCGGAGAAGAGGTGGTTGGTGCACACAGCGCGGAGGCGCTTCCACAGCGCGCTGCTCCCGGGGAGCCATACGATGGACCGCTCGTGGGTGCCGAGCGCGCGGGCGGCGTCGCACACCGCCCGCGCCGCGAGGACGTGGTCGTACCTCTGCAGGGCGTCGCGCGCCGCCGCGGCGGAGGAGGCGACCACGGCGGTGGCCGTGCCGAGCTTGAGCGACATCACGGGGCCGTGCTCCTCGGCGAGCCTCGCCAGCGCGAGGTGCAGCTCGCCCCGGAGGTCGAACACGTTGCCGAGGAGGAGGACGGGGGTCGGGCCCGGCGGCCGCCGCGCGGCGATCTTGGGGTGGCCGTTCTTAGTGGAAACGAAGACTTTGTAGAGGAGGCAAGAGGCGAGCGAGACGTAGAGGAGCCATAGGATGGTTGAAGCTTCCATTTTTTCGTTCTCTTCGGATGATATTGCTGCTCGTTAAGCAGACAAAGCCGTATGGCCTTGTATATATAATGGCGTGAAACGCTCTTTTCTGCGGGGCCAGCGACAAACACTGGCCTACGTTCCATGAAGAGTAAGGAAGAGAGAAGACAAGGTCGTTCTTGCATGTCACCTAAAAAGCCATAAAAAAATTTAAAAATAATAATAAGATCGATCAATATGTGATATAACATTGCACGAGCATACAAATTCATGTTCAACTTATATGAGAAGAGACGAAAATAACGAAATTGACTTTAAATAGAATATGTTATTTTTAGTTTAATTTGTTGTTTTTTTTCCTAATTGTATTGGTTGAATTTAAACTTATATGTCGGTAGATGACATATCACATATTAATCTATTTTACTATTTTTTTAATGATTTTTTGGATGGCATGCACAAAATGGAAGGATGTTCCCTCCAGAGACAATAATCCATCCCCAGATTGAAGAGAACTCTTCTAGGGGTACAACCAATTAACAAGACTGTTACAGCTAACGTGTGCCAAGCTTCAACCACTAAGAGGATTAGAGGAGCAGCATATAGGAGTCGCCGACATGTACGCCTGTCAGTAGTGGCACAGTCCACAGAGGATCTCGTTTGCAGCATAACAGTACACTTTGCCAAAGTTTGTGGAATCAGTTTCGTTTGAGAGCATTAGATTAAAACAAGGTGTCTCACATAAGAGCGAGTCTAATAGTACAGCCCACTATTAGCTTCAATCCATCTATAACTAATCTAATAGCCAATTTATATAATACTTGTTTACTATACTATTAATATATGGTCCCACCCGTCATACATATAGTGTGTATTGTTGGAGTCTGTACTGCAGCTGGCTACAGATCTGTAGCCCGCTGCTCTTCTTTCTCATCGTTTATCTCATTAAAATATGTTTATAGCTGACTAATAGCATGCTATTGTACCTGCTCTAAGATATTGTTGATACAGTAACACAACATTAAAAAGTATCACCCATCAGCAGTTGCGGAGCCTCCACCCTGCATGCTAGGTTGGCAGCTTCGCATTGGAGTTTGCCATGGTCGTCTATTAAAATTCGCTATAAGAATAGCTAATATCCAGTGTATTGTCTTACACTACCTAAATTTTACAATGTTCCCGAGTCCTGGCTTGATTGGTGCCCATCAGATACTCCCTCCGTCCTAAAAAACCAATCTAGTACCGAATGTGACACATCCTAGTACAACGAATCTGGACATGCCTTTGTCCAGATTCGTTGTACGTACTGAAATATGTCACATCTAATACTAGATTCGATTTTTTTTTTTGGATGAAGGGAGTAAGTCTTTAGGTTACGTAGGCCATGATACGAGGGTCCATACAGTCCAATATATATATGCAATATGGAGATTATTGGGTTATAAAAACTGGTATCGAAGCTTATGTTTCTAAACTCTAGAGAATCTCTGATGGACCTTATGGGATCTGCCGTGGATTCATGATAGGGAGCACGATCTTTGGGAGAGATTTTATTTGTGGTGTGTGGACATACTGAGATCACTCACTACTTCAGCTCATAAGGATAATATTATGTATACAACTATAGCAAGAGATGAAAACAGTCGGAAAAGATATCAGTTTTATAGTACTGTTATAGAAACTGTCTTGCTATGTTCTGAAAATTTTCATTTTTACAAATTTAACTATTTAGTGATAACTTTAATACAATGCTAAGAGAAATTGGAAAAACTAAATTTATATATGATTAGAAACGAAAATGGTTGGAAACAGTATTATTTTTATGAAACAGTCTTGGTACTGATCAGAAATTATCGTACCATTTTCACCCGGTTGCATTTTATATATCCGTTACCCAACCAGCCTTACTAAATCATAAGTTATTATCTTCATAATATAAACTATATTTTTTTACATGACGCAGTTTTTCCCCCTAGCCCTAAGGATCCAAAAGACAGTGCATCGGAGAAGAACCGAAGGTGTGGTGATGAAGTTATATATAGGTTCATGCACTCCATCCATTTGTGCTTAAATCCTACAGCTTATGAATATTGGACAAGTAGGTAAGTTTTCAACTGGAAGTTCTTTTATATCTTTTAGATCTTGTATAAGACTTAGTTTCTACATAATATCTTGCTTAAGAGTAGTGGTATTAAATTTGCATATTGTACCAGTATATATATGGGAAAAGTTGGACCTTATACTAGTTTCTAGGTGTCATGAAGAATATATACACTGTCGGTAGTATCTTGTACTGGGACTGCCCTTATCCAGTGGTGCAGCTAGGGGGGTGCCAAAGGGTGCCAACACCCCCCTATCCAAACACTACAAACACTACACCCCCATGTTTTTACTCTATATTAAGGTTAGCTAGGGTAAGTATTTATCTAGTTTGTTTTGTGTAGCTTGAAAGTATTATCAATTTAGTTAGTTAGCAAGTCTAAAAATATTAGCAAGAAACATGATCTACAAAATTAGTTTGTGATTTCTCATCTTTTTCAAAGTAAAATAGATGATACTTATTTGTGAGATTATTCAATAGTTTACATTAAAAGAATTTAGCAATAAAGACTAGTTTTAAACTTTCAATGATATTATTAAAGAGCTAAAATTCAAGTTTTTCTTAAAGGACTACTTTATACATTGCTTGTTATTGATGGTGACTATTTGACCTCCTTTGCTATCAATATTAGTTATTCGGTCTTATAGTTTATCTTCACCTTACACCCCCTTGTCGAGGGATGGCCCTCTATAGCGGGAGATCGTGAGACCCCCCTTTCGTGAGTTCGGCCGGGGGAAGAAACTCGCCTCTAGAAACCACGTATCCGTCCCTAAGGCCCCTAGCTAGCTCGCACACAATCGAATTATACAGGTTCGGGCCGCTGAGAAGCGTAATACCCTACTCTTGTGTTTGGGATTATGGTGGAGTGTTACGAGAGATCCTAAAGTCTGGAGAGCACTCTCGCTCTTCTTCTCCTAGAGTTCAGGCCTACTGAGTCTCGTCCCCCTTCTCGGTGGGTAAGGTCCTCCTTTTATATCTCAAGGGGATACCACATGCACCGTCTCTACCTACTCTTCTTTCGGGTGGGGACCCACCCTATCTTGACCGGAACTCGACCCGTGCCTTCGCCTGGAAGCTAAGCAACAGCTTGTCCTTGAGTGGGGCCCAGCGCCGTCCCTCGCATGACACGGGGGATAGCCCTGTCATTCCCTCATTAATGGGTGAAGACTTGTGGTGGCCGCCGTCCGAATGACCCTCCGATGGGACAGGTCATACCTACCTCCACTCCGCCGGAAGCAGACGCGACGTGGGAGCACGGTTGTCGGTCCAATCAGATGTGACCGGCGTCAGACCGGTTACAGACCGGTCATTCTTGATTATGGCGCATCAGCTTAGCACGCCGCACGTCTGTCTCACTGCATTAAATGCGACAGGGGGCAGTTGGGGCGTTGCGCACATTAAAGGAGGCTCAGCCTGGGCCCCCTCCTCGCTCGCTCCCCCGCCAAATGGCGGCTGGGCGAGGGCCTCGGGACAAAGCGGCGCAAGGGCCCGAGGGGCATGACGTGGCACCCCGAGGCCCTGACCCCCCCGGCCGCTCCTGCGGTTCACGGACTGCGGGGGTAGGACCGGGCTGTAGGGACACACGGCAGGATGGGAAGGTAGATTCCCCACACTTCGCATACCCCCGGACCCATATCTCCCGACACCCCTAATCTCAAATCATGGCTTCGCCCCTGCCCTTATCTAAGTAGCATAAGTACGAGCACACACACTATATCTTTGCACATGGAAGAATGTAAACGTACACCAAACAAATGAGTTTCCTTGTCGTTCCTTTTTTTTTATCCATTTACTGGATTTTGTTTCCTTGTCCTAACAAATAGTAGTAACATGATTGGTATTCTAGAACTACAATTACGCCATTTTCATAAACTCTTTGCACCAAATTACGCGAATAATTTGCCACATTTCACACAAATAATAAACAAAGTTTTTTTCCCCCACTAACATATAATCCTCGAGATCCATGCTATCCTAAACTATACAATATCTGATGCAGATGGCATGCATGCTTTGAGTTTAAAACTACTCCAATCTAGTGCTTCTTCATCTTTCATGAAGGCTAGCTTTTGACCTTTCAGCTCAAGAATATTGTTCTAAAGAAAAAAAAAAGCTCAAGAATATTGTTTCTCTCCAACTGCCCATCAGTGTGTTTCCTAGTTGTGTGCTTGTGATTGGATATGATGGCCGAATGATCGAACGGATTGGCCCTCATCTGCTGACGCCGTCCAATGCAACAACTTTGTTTGACTCCTCGTAGCAAAAATTCAGAGATCACAATATAATATGAGCTCGATCGCCGCCCTGAATGTGGTGTTCGTTCCCAGATTTGCGCGTTTGCGAGCAATCTCTGACGCCTTCGCCGATCAGATTCGGTGATGATGCCAGTTGCAGTAGACAAATGGAAGGGCGGCTGCTTTGATGTCTCAATCAGTGGTGCAAAAATATTCAGGCCGTTTCAGGAATCAGAAGTCAGAAAGAGACAGTAAATTGTGTATAGAGGGTAAGTGGATAAATAGGAGTGCGACCCTACAGGATAAACCACTTTGAGGTGAATAAAAGATTAGGAGATTTGGATGGTGTTTGTTAGTTAATTATGGGATGAGTGTCTAGTGCACAAAGCACCATTTGAGAGGCTGAGTTTGTGATATATGACCAATGTGAAAACCTGATCATTCTGTTATCTTTTAAGATGAAACATACACATCTCGTCTCTTAGTATAATGCAACCCACCATGATCTCTCCGTGATTAGTGGATAAATTGGTATCGAGTGTACAAGCACCTTGCAGATATGCACAAATCTTGGTACTCATTTGTTTATTAGTAGTAGTCAACAACCAATGATTTTCAGTTCGAGAGGAGTTGGGCTCATGGGTTGTGGGCAGTGGGCTGGCAGGCCGGCTCGTTTACATGAACATTTTACACCTTGGTTGATATCATTATCCATCCTAAAATACCGAACAGACATAAACGATCGACTAACAAAGGAAACTAACAAATATAAACACGATAGATGAACAGAAATGAAATACCCTAACGGCCTTGTTCGGATGGGCCTAAATCCCAGCCCACTCATATAGATGGGCCGGTATTCAGGCCCATCAAATTTTGTAGGCCTTGGGCCTTCCTAAACCTTAACCGGCACGGCCCAAAGAGGGGTAGCGAGCTCAAGCACGGCGCCGAACCGGTCGCCGACGTCGACGTCGCCAGGCGCCATCCCCTCCGGCAGCCTCCACTCCAGCGAGTGCACCATCGCCGCCACCACCATGGGCACCACCGCCACGGCCAGCGGTATCCCGGGGCACGCCCTCCGGCCGGACCCGAACGGGATGAACTCGAGCGTCCTCCCCCAGTAGTCCGCCTCCCTGCCCAAGAACCTCTCCGGCGAGAACGCATCCGGCTCCGGCGACCACGCCGCGGGGTCCCTCCCGATCGCCCACGCGTTGATCAGCACGCGGGCGCCGCTGGGCACCGAGTAGCCGCCGAGCGTCACGCCGCCGGCCGGCTCCGAGTCCGACGACACCCGGTGCGGCAGCAGCAGCGGCGCCGGCGGGTGCAGCCGCAGCGTCTCCTTGATCACGGCGTTGAGGTAGGGGAGCCTCGCGAGCTCGCCTTCCTCGACGGCGCCGCGCCCGAACGCCTCCCCGAGCTCGGCGCGCGCCTTCGCCATCTTGCTCGGGTTGCGGAGCAGCTCGGCCATCGCCCACTCCACCGTGGTCGTCGTCGTGTGGCTCCCAGCGATGAACAAATCCTGATTAAATTATTCACATCAAGTCTAATCATGAGCATTTTTAATTCTCACATCGAGTCAAATTATTTTAACTAAGGGCCGCGAAATGAAAATTTTTAAGTATCATATCATATGTTTGATCAGATGTCGGATGGAGTTTTTGGACAAAAATGAAAAAACTAATTTCATAACTCACCTGGAAAACCGCGAGACAAATCTTTTGAGACTAATTAATCCATCATTAGCATATATTGATTATTGTAGCACTTATAGCTAATCATAGACTAATTAAGCTCAAAAGATTCGTCTCGCGATTTTCCTCTAACTGTATATTTTTTTTTCTTTTAATCTATATTTAATGCTCCATGCATGTATTTAAAAATTCGATATGATATTTTTGGAAAAAACTTTTGGGTACTAAACGGGGCCTAATTAAAGAATATGAGATACCGTCATGAGAGCTCGAATCAGTGGGCGCTCGAGCTGTGACTTGGCGTGGAGCTCCAGAAGCGAGTCGAGCAGGTCGCCGGGTTTCTCGCCGCTGCTCAGCCGCCGGTCAATGACATCGTCGAAGAAATCGTAGAACTTCTTGAGGTTCTTGGCCGCCGCGCGGCGGCGACGGCTGAGGTCGAGCGCGCTGAGGAATGGGAAGAAGTCGGAGATGTTGGGCTTGGCCGTCTCCGCCACGGAGTCGGCGATGAGCTGCTGGAACTCCTGCCCGGTCTCCGACCCCAGCTCGACGACGTCCTCGGAGAAGAAGACGTTGGACATGAAGTTGAGCACGGAGCCGAACACGGCGAGGCCGACGCGGACGGGGCGCCCCGAGCGCGCGCCGAGGTAGTCGACGAGCTCCCGGGCCTTGCGCTCCCGGATGCCGCGGCTGGCGCCGAGACGCCGGGAGGTGAACAGCAGGGTGCTCGCCAAGGTGCGCATGTGCTTCCACAGCGGGCTGGAGCTCGGCAGCCACGCCATGGAGACGTCCTGGTGGCCGAGCACGTTGGCGTTGTCCGGCACCCACCGGGAGGAGATGGCGCCGTCCTTCTTGTGGAGCGCCTCGTGCGCCACGTCCGGGGACGAGAGCACGACGGTGCTCGCCATGCCGAGCCTCAGCGACATGACGGGGCCGTACGACGCCGCTAAGCCGGTGAGCGCGCGGTGCAGCTCGCCGCCACGGAGGAGGTCGGGGATGTTGCCGATGACCGGGAACGGCGTCGGGCCCGGCGGAGGCGGCGGTGCAGCAGGCGCGCCGGAGGGGGACTTGCTTGCCTTGCTCCATAGCAGGTACAGCAATGGAACGCCAAGAAGTGAGATCAGGAACACTGGCGAGATCGTCGTCAACTCCATTAGTGCACACAAAGATCTGAGAACGAATTTCGGTCTTGTTATGTAGCCTGTTGCTACTTGTTCTGCAAGGTTCGATCGTCAAACACTGAATTGTATATTTGCAAAAGTTGCAAGTAGTCATTTGTTTTGAGTAACTTGAGAAAGTCTGAGAGAGATTGATGCAGATGCAGGATGGCAGTTCTCTATGGTTCAACTTGATCATGCCCAGCCACTCATACTTCCGAAATGTGTTGCCCCCTCCCTCTCGCTCACTCTTACTCGCTAGTATTTGACTCGCTTCATCCATAAATATAAGAGATTTACATCTCACCATTTATTAACTAATGTAAGAACATATTCAGTAGTCTCCTAATAGTCCATCCCCAGAGCCTCCTTAATATTACTTCAGGATTATTGGCGGAAGTTGCTTTTGCACTTCCACAATACCCCATCCCCAATATACCACCAGACATATGGCCTCATTTGTTAGTGACCCAATACCATATGATCTATCACTCTTTTCTATCTCTCCTTCACGGCCAGATCTAGTAGACATTGGGACGATGGTGGTGAGGTGGTGGTGGTGGGCCGACCGACAAAGCTCCTCCAATCGGCGAAGCTAGGATGGTGGCGGCAGAGCTACTCCAGGCGGGAGGAAAACACATGCATGCACGTACTCAAAGCAAACGGAGCTCTGCGGTGGAAACGCGGCAGAGTCGACTCTCCAATGCTAGAGCAGGCCTTGCAACCATGACGATGTTGGGGAAATGTTGTGGGCACACGACGGCTCCATCGTGGCGGTGATGGCGGGGTAGCGTAGCGGAGCTCCTTCGAGTGTTGGTGTGAGGGGCAGTGGCAAGGTGGTAGAGCTCGGGATGAGCATGGAATCGGACACCTCGCATGGTAATTGGGATTGGGGGTGGATTATTTAGGGATATCCTTCACCCCTCTATTTTAGGAGAACTAGGGTGGATTACTGGTTATTGCCAATAATTATTGGAAATTTGTGGGGGGGTTATTGGGGGACTGGTAGAGCACACAAATTCTCAGCAGTGGCAGTATTTTGGGATGGGGAGGATATTGGAGAATTGCTGAAGATGCTCTAAGGGACTTTGGAGTTCTACTTGTACCATCGATCATCACTCATTCAATTTTCATCACATCTTAGCGCCAACACCCTTCCATCCCCAACCACTCTTCATCCAGTGAGGTGCATCATAATCTTTTATTTTTGTCTTTGATCTCTAAAAGAAATACATATTCCCTTATATTTGTTGATGGAGGGAGTATATATAAATCATGTGTCAGTGTTCTATATATGGGATACCCAATACATGTGTACTAAACTTGGTGGGGCCCACCATAATATCAAGTCCTATACAGAATAAATCCTCTTATGTATAGAAAAAGTCTTAGATAAGAAAAGATAAACAAAGTCCTATTCAGATTCAGTCCCTAAAAGGTCTACTCGGGATCGTATCTGTCGACGTCGACGTTTGATGTCGCGATTCCGGTATTTGCATAGTATGGGGATCTTTGATACTAGAATATATGCGAGATTGTAGTAAAAGAGATGGAGACGATGATTTTTATAAAGGTTCGGGCCCCTGAATTGTCAGGTAATAGCCCTACATCCTGTTGGCCGAAGCCGGTCGTTGCTCTTATTCACCATAATTACACCAGTACAATATTTGGGGTAGACTATCTATCTGTTGTAGACTTGGCGGTCTGAAGTGCTGACTTGTAGTCGACAACATGGCAGCCTTCCTCCTCGAATCCGTGCCCAGCGAGGTCAGAGACAGCGCTATATCTCTCCTGACGGTAGCCATAGGCACCGTAGGGGACTAGCCATGCCTATCTCTGAAGTCGATATCTGGCGTCTTGTCTTGGCGTATATTGGCTTGTATGTTGATCTTCTGTCTTGATCTATTGTTTCGTGTCTTCTATGGTGGGTGTGTCCCTTCTCTTCCTAGGGGACCTTGTATCTATACCCATAGGTGTCTCCTTGTCCAAGTAGAACTAGGGAAACCAGTATGGATACAATCCGAGTAGTCCTAGTCGTTTCCATGTAGAACTCTGGTCATCCTTCCTTATGCGGAACTCCTCCTATATCCGAAGGTTGTTTTCGTATAAGACATGGTATGTGGTGGGTCTTGCCGAGATTTAGTCAACTACTATTAGGTATGTGGTATCCATAACCCTGACAATATCCATACCTGCCTTCGTAGTTCTACTTGGATAAGGGGCATCAGAGGGTATAAATACATGACTCCCAGGAGAGAGGGGACAAGCAAAGATACATCAACAAACGCTAAGACGAACCCAGACGAGGCCAATACAATCGAATGAGCACCGCAAAAGTCAACAAGAGGGATTTATTGCAACCTCCAATCTCGCTGATGTTCTGGCCTGTTCGAGGAAGTTGACAATAGATACCCGTAGACCACCTATTTGAGCCTTATGCCGCTACACTGACATAGACTAGATTAGGTCTCCTCCCCATTGTATTTGTGGGAGATTGATTATATAATAGCAACACTGGCTTCGGCCAACAGGAGTAGAGCTATTACTTGTTAGTAGGGGGGTCCGAATATGTATAAAAATCCATGTCTCCCACTTACTTTACTGCAATCTCGCGTATACCTTAGTACCGATGTCTCACATACTATATAAATACAGTAGACGGGTACAGCTCGTCGACATCACAAAAGCTTCAAAATGTAATAAAAGTGATAGGGGAATGATCATTAATTAATTTTGAAAATAGATTTCACCCAATAGTTGCATAAGTGCACTATTCGGTCTGTTTCAAAATATAAGGTGTTTCATTTCGTCCTAAGTCAAACACTTCAATTTTGATCAAGTATGTGGAAAAGTATAACGATATTTTCAACACCAAATAAATATATTATAAAAACATGCTCCCACCTTACAAAAAAATGCCCCTAAATAATTGTTTTTTTCTTAACGGAAAAATATGAAAATCACTCCTGGGTTCATGAGTGAGGGTTGGGAACCTTCACCCCTGGCACGCAAAACGAAGCGACGGATTAGCGCATGATTAATTAAGTATTAGCTAAAACAAACTTTAAAAATGGATTAATATAATTTTTAAAGCAACTTTCCTACAGAATTTCTTTTTGCAAAACACACACCGTTTAGCAGTCATGTGCATGGAAAATGAGGAGATATAATTTGGGAAAGGGGAGTTTAGAATACAGCCTCATAATTGTTTTATCTTATGAGCTTAAGAAATTTTGTCGAGCGGAAGGCCCAACTAAATCTACGTGAAGCTCTGCCCCTTGAAAAATAAGAAGACCTTGCTCTAAAATCTTCTTCAGGACTGTCGATAGTTGTTGCACTTATCTTCATCACCATTTTCTTTAATCTAGGCCAGAAAATGAATGTTATTCAACTAACAATTCCAACTGAGATTTCACTAATTTAAGTGTTGCCGAATATGAGAAGTTGATATTAATTTTAGTTCATCTATCGTTTTCATAAACAAGTGACACGATCTGCCCAATTCTTTGGGTTGAATGTATGTAGCTATAATTTTTTTATGAAATGTAGAATGTCAATCAGTGCCCCAATTATAAACACTAAGTGTATAATGTTCTACCAAGAAAAGGTTGTTGGAATGTACTCAACTCTACCCTATGCTATTGCGTAGATGAATGTTCATTACTGAAAAATTTAAGCGATAAAATATTACACCCCCTTGCTTCGATCGAATTTTTTTTTAAAAAAATGATATTCTAGTTGCATATGTTCTTATTAAGATCTCACACATCTCCCTTCAGATTGATATGCATGGACTGATTGTCTATAGTTTAATTGGTTTTGATTGGGTAGCTAGTTACAAAGTTCTTCTTCAAAAAGCAGATTTGTCTACTATATAATTCATACTTATGTGGTTAAGATAAAAAGCAGATTTGTAGTTTGGTGGCATGGACAATGTATGAGCTTTTTATGTATAACCTTGGAAAATACACAAACATGATAAAAATAGGGAATGGTGCAGGAATTTATTAGCATTGTTTTTTTTTGCTGTAGGCATGACATCCTAGGATATATGGCTTGAATCTTAAATTGAGAGGCTTGATCTATAGCTTTGAGGGGACCAATGTAAAAAATTAGTATGTGCTATTTTGATATTTGGTTAATACTAAAGTAGCAAAATTAAAGGACCTCTAGAGGGGGGCCATGGCCCCCTTTTGCCTCACTGAAGCAACTATTTCGCTTAAACCTTTTACAACTCCATAGATTTCCCTATGATCTTAATATAATTTGCATTCGAACCTATCAAGTGTTTAATTAATAAGTTATTATTACAATATCTATACCTAATTAAAAATACGTAAGACTTCCGAAAAAATTTTCATCTGTCGTCATCATTCACATGCTACGTGATTTTTTATTCAGGCGAAACGGATGTTTGCTTTCATTAGGATCTATACCTATACTAATCCGGCTAGAAGCACTTTCTAGGAATTATCACGTTAATCAGAAAGATCTGACTATTCATTAAGTAAATCGATTAATCACGGCTGTTGATCGTTGATGGTGTTCTGAAGCCCTCTAGGCCCATCTAATCTACATTACCAACACCAACCCCCAGCCTCACCGTACGTGCATTTCGCATCTTCTGTTTACGTACCCAACTCCATGTTCGTAGAACAGATGGAAACACATGTACGTACCCTGATCGGCGGCGATTTCGACCCCTCCAACTAGCTAGGCTCGTGAGTAGATGGCGAACGCAGCACACCGGTACATGTGAGACTTCACCACGTTGTAACGCACAAGCACTTTTTCTAGTTATAAACATAATTTATAAAAAGCAGCGGGTTTAGCGACCACCTCATGATGGAGATCGATGACATTATATGTCAGCCGCTACACCGGCAGTTCTTCCTCTCCTTGACTATACTGGGTGAAGGTGAAGTACGTCTCTGAGTTTGGGCCACCAAACTAGTAGAGTGAAGTACATCTCTCAGTTTGGGCCGCCAAACCAATAGATGAGCATCGTGATATGTTGTTCTCCATGAAATGAACCTCGTGTGCCAACGTGTAACTCACGATGTGCTTGGCATTAAGCTTCAAGATCATACAATGGTCCTCGTACTTGGTCACCATGTAGGACATGGCCACAGTGCTAAAAAGGTTAAGTTGATAGTCAGTGGATGGCGAACTCGGTAGACACTACAAACTTGACTGTATTGAGCCTTGGTATGGAAACATGAGTGGTAACTTCCAAATTCAAATAAACCTATAACTTAGAAAAGGCCAATCCTAGCCATTCCCGTGTTTTGAGAAAACAAATGGTTTTCAAACTAGAAAACAAAGTAAACAATAGGTGCAAATACTCAATGGAAGCTATTCTAACAATTGAGTTAATTACACATGTTGGTAGTGGAACTCCCTTCTAAATTAGACAAAGAAGCATTTTGAAAGCAAATACATATATTTGATTGGAGGAAGTAGAATGAACGGTAAAAGAAATTTTTTGTAAGCTAATACACATTTTGAATGGAGGAAGCAGAATGAATAGTAAAAGAAGTTTTTTGAAAGCTAATACGCATTTTTGAATGGAGGAGGTAGAATGAACAGTAATTTCTAACGGTAACTCTTGAATTATCTCACTATTTACTAGTACTCCTTCCATTCCTAAAAGCGTATAGTTTAGCCTTTTTTTTCATTTCTTTAGAGCAGGTCCACTAAATGTCCTTTAATACTACTTCATCCTTTTCTTCTCATTTTAACAATTGAACCAATAGTACTCCCTTCATCTTTTTTCCTTCTCATTTTAATCATTGAGCTAGTAGCATTCCCTCATTCTCCTCGTTTTCTCATCGATAAATGAAGGACATAATATTCTTTTAACCTCCTACATAATATGTCTTTTACTTGCTACAACTACTGTCTTTTAGGGACGAAGGAAGTATTTCTCTAAGATAAAACAAGAAGTAAAATAATCTTGATATCAAAGCATGGTCATCATTGAAAAACTAAAATATTTAAATTTAGATTGAGAAGTTTATACTGGTATGATAATCAGAACAAAGGATAATATCAATTTAAGGTGTAGATTGAATCCTACAGAAGACCCCTGCTGGGACTCTACTAATAGTCTCACACAAGATCCAAGAATGTGTTTTGATCTTGTCATGTACGGTTTTGCTATCCAAGTTATACACCGGAGTTATATATATTTGCAGAATCGCACGTTACTTGTTTGGAAGGTTCGATCATCAAACATTGATGAATTGTATATTTGCACAAGTTGTAGGTTGTACATTTATTTTGAGCAAGTTGACAAAGAGAGATTGATGTAGCATGACAGTTTTCTATGGTTGAACTTGCCTTCTTCTGAACCATATATACTTACCCTGAAATGAAAAGGGTTCTCCTTTTTGTTGCAGTAAGCGCCCCAATTTTATATACAAGCCATGAAAGCTTCAAAATGCACTAGGAATCACGACGACCACCTCCTACTTGAGCATCATTGCTCCAGGTAGGCAATGCAAGGTCTGCTCTTATAACTTCTCCATCTGCTGAGTCTGCAAGGACGGCTTAAGTTTTCAGTCAGAAGTGCCAATTTCGCAAATAATACTTGCAGTTAACCACAAACCATCACATCTGTGCATGTACCAAAGAAAGAAAACAAAAGTTAATATATCGAAGCCGCAATTATAAATTCAGATAACTCTGAATACAGTTGATCCGACAGCGCCGGCCAGATTGTTTGTAGCAAACATTTCTGCAGGCAAATTAGGATAGTGTCAGTGCAAGTATTCCCTCCGGTCAATTTTTTGTGACACTACTAAGATTTGGTCAAACTTTTTTTTATCACCAACAGTTTCTCAAATGCTTTAGTTTAAAAACAAGAAAAATGGTATATGTCTTGAAATTACTATTATAATATCATAAGCTTATTAGCTTTTATAAATTTATTTCTAATATAAAATTAATGGTCAAAGTTTTAAATGTTTGATTAAACCTTGCCCTAACGGTCAAATATTTCTGATCCAAGGAAGGAAAAGGAGCACACATAAATGCAGTTTAATTAATGAAAAGAACTAAGAGTTGATAAGGATCGAATCCCAGCTCTGCGCATCACATCATTGAACTTCTTCCATGCCAGCCTTTTGTGTGTACAGAATGTCATCTTCGTAATCAGAACAACATTGCAAATTAGAGTACATCTTCAGAGAAAAAAATCACTTACTATGTATCAAGACAACACAGTATATCTAACTGTCTGCACCTTTAAAGTTGCAGCTCATAAGTGTAGCAACAGCAAGAAGGGCTGTGACGAGAGCTGCTGCTGGTGCTGCTGCAGATTGCAGAATGAGCCTCCATTTCTGCAAACCTGAGATTTATGACTGGAATGCCAAATTAACCGTTACGCTTAATTCTTAAATAGTAGCGTAGATCCTATTCAGTATAATTAACTAGATTTATAGATGCAAACTAATTGTTACACAAAGAAGTAGCTTCTCAAAATTTACTAACCGCAACTAGACTATCAGCATAATTAAACAGGTGAAGATCCATCACTGCCTTCTTCAAAAATGTTTGGTACACACCATTCCTCGGGTGTTGAAGCTATTTTCAGCACGTGAAGTCTTCAAATGTTGAAGCTATTTTCTCCAGTTTACATGTTTCGATGTCATACCGGTAGACCTTGTTGGATGCCAGCAGCAGCTTTCTTCTATGGAAAACAACCAAAGGAGGTATTTCTACAAAGTGATTCATAACAAGATCAGGTGTAATCTGTACAGTACAGCATAGAGTCCATTCAGGGTTTTGCCCAACACTACAGGTCCAAATCTCCAGTTCCAGTGTCCAACTGTAAAAACAAGCACAACACAATTCACCCTCTACTTCTGTGAAACAGTAAGGCTTTGCACTGCATGGAGGACATGGAAACAGACTGAACTTCTCATCAGTCAAACAGAATCTGAGAAATGTTTTGGGTGGATACGGGCAAAGCGGCGTACGACAAACCTTCCAGTAGATGGCTCCTTTCACATGAACTGGAGTTAACCTGTCAATTGGGTATGGTGGATCTTCAGTTTGCCTCCATGCATCAGTGCCCAGAGTAAGCACTTCAAACTTGCAGACCTGTCTTGTTGTCGGATAATCCCTTTGGTAGAAAGCTCTAGCCACCTTGTACTTGTTGCTGTGAGGATCAAACCCAAATCCGAGCCCCATGCCGCCACATAGGCTATGGCTCCCTTCTGGCAGGGAAACAATCTCTCTTGTCGATGGATTGCAGATCATCATCTTGTGCTTCCTGGTAGAAATGAGGAGCAAACCATCGCAGTGCACCGGTCGAATCCATTTACGGATACCTCGAGGAAAATCCTGCAGATGCATTATATTAGGATCCTGGTATTTATACAGGCTCATCAGGAAGGCAATATTCTCACCGTTCTTCTTCATCTCGAAAGAGCCAGGGATCACGAGCAGTGATGGCCTCTGCTTGGAGCACTCGAGATGAGCATTGACGAAACGGGAGCTGGATATCGTGGCGTGCCAAGCCTTGCACACCGACCTGAATCGGATGAGAGATTTGGATGGCAGCCATGAGAGGATTTTGAACAGCACATCTTCAGGGATGTAACGGAGCAAGATCGTCGACCAGGAGTTGATAGCAATGCGCATCGCCTTTCGCGGCCGAGTAGATGATACCTGAATGTCTGAGCATCTTTTCATCATCTCCATGACAAGAATCCCTGAAACTGCAGGAGATGAGAGCGTCAAGATGATTGGTTATTAGTTTAGTTATGGGGGTCTGCCTCTGCAGACTGCAGCAACATATATAACAGGAGAATTCTCTGTGCAAATCGGATTATGTACACCTGAACTTAAAATTCTACTCGGGCTAGTAAAGTGATGAGAAACTAAATTCGGTTCGAACTTGTCAGGTGGCGGCGGTTTTCTTTCACAAAAAATAAACTTTTTCTCTCTTTCGGGCAAGATCTGCAGCGAAACCTAACCTTAAAGCTACCAACAAATTCAGAAAATATAACCATGTTGATGCAGAGATGAAACTGACCCAAAATTATCAGCGAGAGCCATACAGAAAAACTTCACTGGTTTCAGAGAACTCACCGGCTGTACTTCGGCGCCGGCGGAAGTGGATCCCGCCGGCGAGGGTGGCTTGGCTGAGCGACGGAGGAGGGTCCCTCGCGTGGTTGCGTTGCGCGAATAGCAATCGAGATTGGGATTTTTTTTCCCTTTTCTTCACAAGAGTAAGAGAAACCGAGTAGAAGAAGAAGAAATTACGTGAGTGTCGTACTGTCGTCCGACAACCCGGCCTACCTTTTCGGTCCACCTGAATATGGCTCGCACACGAATCGCAGTCCCATTCCGGCCCACCCACTTATGGGCCTCACGTGAGCCCAAGTCTCGTTTAGGCCCACGTAATTATAGGCAGCTCGACAGCTCGTAAGTAAAAGGAAAAAGTACAAAAGAGGTCCCTCACCTTGTCACCAAATTACAAAATCATCCTTGAAGGCCCACATGTCATCCTCATTATCTCCTTCCTCTCTTCTCCTTTCTCCTCACCCGATCCGCCCAAGCTCTCGCCAACCCCGTGCTCCTAACATTGTGTTGGTGTTTTGGTGATTAATGACAATGGTTGTTGGAACTAACCTTTGTATGAGTTTGTGATGATAGTTATGTTCCGGCATCAAGCAAAAAGGTTGACGACTCATATGCGAGGATCAAGTGATCGGATTGTGGATTGATGACAAGAAAGATGATACCTCACATATCGGGAATCAACAAGAGTCAAATGCCGATGATGAGAATGCTTGGTGAGATCCCATCATGAGTTGATGGACATGTTGAAGAAGATAAATACCATGATTGAAGATTGAGATGAAAATGAAAATGGTGTGAGAAGCTAGAAGATGGAGTTTATCGGTTGATGAGAACCAAAGAGAAGAGATTGAAGATCTAGGTATGAAGTGGCTAACTATGGCAAGACGGTGAAGCGCAAGGGAAGCTCGGCTACGATGGACCATGCATTGGTGAAGGGCAAGCAAGGGACTTGGCACCGATGAACCAAATCCGGTGGAGAAGGGCGAGTGAAGACATTGTCGTGACGGATCGTGCGAGGCCATTTGAAACTATGGATTATCTGTATCAATCATTTGAGAAATGGAAGATGCAAAGCCAAAGATCAAGAATATTTGATTCGTTGATAATCAAGAAGGGCATTGATCAAGGCAAAGGTATAATTGATCTGGGACTAATGTGCTTGTTGAGTTGTATGAGAATGTCCCAATGGTGAAACGACTTTGATGTTGACAACCCTCGAAGTGAAGAAAGAGAATGGTGTGAAGGTATTCCTATTGGTATAGCTTTTCTATTTGCAATTGGGTATATGAATCTCGTACTATTATGAGGAATGCAACGTTGATGTGTTTGTTTATGTCTCGGTGCTTAAAGTAACCTATGCAAGTGCTACTTGAGAGAGACCCAAGTTTTAGCCTATCCTATGAGTGGTTTTAGAATTTGTTCTTGGTGGGGTCGGGTAGCCCTTTCAATAAGCTTTCCATAAAGCCTAAGTTTGTTGAAATCGGGCTCCGAAGTAAGAAGTTATGGTTTTTTCCTCTGGTGTTGTTAGGTGGCCAGGAGACTCCAGGCCTGTTCATGCCGAGGCTTCCAGGAGGCTCCAAAATTGAACCTCGGGCACCCGAAAGGGCTTCCTGGAGACTCGGGCCAAATCCAGGAGACTCCGGGCCTATACTAACCTGAGCCTAACGGCTAGGTTTTAGGGCGTCCAGGAGACTCCGGGCATGGGACCCGGATACTCTAGGACTGTGCAAAGTTGTATGTAACGACTAGTTTTTGAAGAGCTCGGGTATTTAAATCCCTCCACCCCCTCTATCCATGGTTGCTGACTTTGGGCAAGATTAGAACCATCCAAAACCAAAGAGCCACTCCCCAATATCCTACCTTTGTGGTAGAACTCTTTGTGAGTGAGATTAGAGAAGAGGATTTGAGAAGAGAAGGGATTTGGGGTTGAGAGAGAGTTTAAGAACATAAGTTGAGAGCTAGTGAGCTTTACTCAAATCTTTGAGCACTTGAGTTCATAGCAAGCAAGTTTTCATTGTGTTTGTTACTCTTGGAGGTTAAGCCTCCTAGACGGCAAGGCGTCGCCCGGTGAGCCCCCAAGTGTGTGGTGAGTTGCGGGAAGTTTGTGAAGGTTTTCCTCACCTCCACAAGGAAAGAGGTAATTTAGTGGAATCCGAGCTATCTTCTAGGAGGTTGCATGGTAGAACAAGCTTCACTGGTGGACCGGGGCTCGTCGTCTAAGCTTGGACATTGGGGTCGCTTGGAGACTTGCTAATCCTAGGTGGTTGCTTGGAAACCTAGACTTCCTTGTGATTGATAGCTTGGTGAGGAAGGTGGTTGAAAGAGACCCGGCTATACATCGAGCATCTTCGTTGCACAATAGATGATTCAATTTTCTAGCATACATCAATCGATCTGAAGGGACTTTATGCTCCATACACATTCACCGTGTTTGAAATGTTGTTGTGTTGACTACTTATTAATGAGGAATACTCAGAATATACATATGTATAATTAAAATTGTATTTACCCGTTGTAATATACGGGCATTTTGCTAGTTGAAAAAAAATTGAATGCAACACAAAGGTTTAATTGCAGCACATATTTTTTGTCAGAATATAATCATGTAACATTTTATTAAAAAATTAATTGTGGTAAATATAATATTATAATCAGATAAAAATAAATACTTTATAACAAAAGAAATAGTTTAAGCATGGGCCCTTGCATGCATGCACACACATGCTCTAGTGGACCTCTGCAGATATTGCAATAAGTCCACTTTGACTCCCTTAACTAGTGACTGAATCTGTGTTCTTAAACCGCAATAACGGATATCTCGACCCCCCCAACTATTAAAACCGGTGTAATTTTACTCCATTCGTGGTTTTGAAGAGTGGTTTCGCCTACGTGACAGCATTGATCTGGTCTATGGTGTTGATGTGACGCTTATGTGGCACTAGAATCAAAAACATATATGACCCCATTCATCATTAAAAAAATTGTGCGCCCATTAACATATGGGCCAATATGTCATCCCCTCTCTATCCTTCTTCCTCCTCCCTCTCTCTACCTTCCCTCTCTGTTTCTCTTCTCTCTAGCCATCTCCAGGGGGCAGGATCTAGAGCTGCGGCAGCGGCGGAGGGGCGAGGGCCCAAGCGACAACGGCGGCACGGTGTTGAACTCCTCCTCTAGGTCGCCGGGCTCGGGGAATTTAACTATTTGCCACTTTTAGGTTTGTCAATTATTCAAATACCCCTCTTAAATTTGCACTTAATTTTTTTTCCATTAGAGAGAAACAATTTCTTAATTTTTTGCCACTTTTGCATACGTGGCACGCCAACGAGGCTGCCCCGTCATCAATCACCATCTCTGCAATGTTCTAGATGTTTGGATTGCACCAAGAGATCTCAGTGAAGATGTTTCTGCATAGGTCTTCCTCAAGCTCGCAGAAAGTAGACATTTAGAATCGATTTCTATCTAAACCTCCAAACTAAGCCACCCCAATCCAACAATGGAATTAATGCAAGCATGATAGTAGATGAGAGGAAGAAGTAGAAATTGATCGAAGAAGAGGAAGCAACCAACCTGGGGAGATCGCAGCGGGAGGGGCGCCAGCGCTATGGAGTCGTCGGGGCGGCCGTTCTTGGAGCAGCAAAAGCCGACTTTGAGGAAGGGGCATGCCTCCCACACCCACTCCCCGTCGAACAGGTCTCACTCCTCGTCATCGCCACCGCACAGCTCCTCGATGGAGACCCTGCCGCTGAGGAGTTTCTTGGCCGCTGCCAGCGCTGAGCAGCATAGCGACGTGCCGCACACGAGAAGTACCACCCCCGCCGCGGCGAACACCATCGTCGTGACCCCGCCACCACGGCCTTCTCTAGCGGTCTCCTCATCAACCCCTCGCTAATTGCTTCGCCACCGATGTCCCCACCATCGCATCGATCCCCTCCCCCCCCCCCCAACTAATCATCCTCTCACCACTGACGAAGATGGCCGGAGGTGAGAGAGAAGGGGAAGAGAAGATAGAGAGTAGGTGAAGGAGGAAGAAGATGACAGGACATCCTCGTTGGTATGCCACATGCAAAAGTGGCAAAAAAAAAGTTGTCTCTCTTCAATGGCAAAAAATTAAGTGTAAATCTAAGAGGGGTATTTAGATAATTGACAAACCTAACAGTAGCAAATAGTTAAATTCTCCCGTTGGGCTCTGTGTCCATGCCGGCGGGGTCACGCGACCGGAACCTGTACTACCATATGCCGATGAGGAAGACGTACAGGCGTACAGCGACGCCGTGGGCACGACCAGCTCCGGATACCAGACGAGGACGAGGTAGACTGGTAGAGGACGTGTACGAGCACGGTGGTGGACGAGCTGCGCCACCGGGCAAGCCCGACGGCCCAGGTGAGCACCCCCAAGATGCGGAACCAATTCCCCTTGGCGCGGCGCACGCTCCACGTGTGAGCGTCGACGTCTAGCATGTGGCGCACCACCTCCCGCCCCAGCGGCGTCTCGGAGCGCTCCAGCCTCGCGGCGACGAGGCGCACGGTGGCGGCCCGGAGCGTCTCCTGCTGCGCGACGCCGATCGGGCGGAGGTAGTGCATCTGCGGCAGCAGCGACGAGGTGTAGGTGCGCCGGCGACGAGAACCGCACGGCGAGCTGCACCTCCTCCATCTTCTTGAGCCCCGAGCGGCGAGCGGAGCAGCACGAGCAGCGGGTACGACGCGCAGAAATAAAATTCCTTTTCATTCTGATCTAGTGAATTCAATTAGACGCACAGAAATAATCAAGCTGTCTGGCTAAACAACACATTGCGCATGGCACATAGTATGCTTAATCAACAGAATCAAATTTCTATTCCAGATACTAGTACAAGAGTTTAATCACATCATCAAGGCACTTTACATCGAGGATTACGAGCAGCGGGTACGACGCCGTGTATCTGCACCCCCGTCAACGCCGTCTCGTAACTCTGCACACGTGCACCCGCACCTTCCGGATGCGGTAGTCCTGCCGCTCATCTCCGTCGTCGGCGAACACCCGCCACCGTGAGCACCGTGCACGGGTCGTACACCTGCCACGTGCACTGCTCGTTCCACCGCGGGTTGAGGCTGTCGGACTGTCGGTGACGGTGCGCTTCCGCACCCACTTCTTGCCGTACTTGGCCACGCAGTAGGCGTCCGTCGAGTATTTGGCGCCGCCCTTCGTCTTCGTCGACAGCAGCCCACACGCCCCGATGATGCCGAGCTCCAGCACGCCCACCGGCGGCTTCCACTGCTGCTTCGCCGTCGGCCGGTACTCGCTGCACACGTGCGCCGCCTCCTTCTAGGCAGTGTCGGAGGTGAAGCCGGCCGGAGTAGAACCCCGGCGGGCCACCGCCCGGACCGCCGGGAGCAATGCCGATGTCGGACGTGCCCCCCGACGAGCTGGCTCCTTGATCATGGTGCGGTCCTTGACGAGCACGATTAGGCTCTCGTCGAGCGGCTCGGACACGACGAACATGAGGTCCTCCTCCCACTCCCAGGCGAACGCCGAGCCGCTGCTCGTGCTCGCCACCGACCGCTGCGTCCTCGCCGACTGGAACCCGATCTTTATCTTGACACGCACATCGAACGGCAGCCCAGGCGACGGCGCCGGCACCCGCAGGTCATGCGCCTCGATCACCGACGCGCGCAGGTTCCACGCCTCTGATGTCGCCTGATCCACATCGCCACCATGATGTCGTCTGTCACAATGCCGGGCTCGTACGCCGTGCCGCCGCCGGAGGTGCTCCGGACGCGCTCCCCACCGCCGTCGCCGCTCCGGGCCTTAGCTTGCCCCCCGCCGCCGCCGCCGCCGCTCCAGATCCCGTCCTTGGAAACGGACGAAGTGGAGAGGAAGAGAAACACAGAGAGAGAAGGGAGAGAGTGCCTGTTGGACAGGAGTGTCTAATTTTTTCAAGGATTAATTAGATACATGTCATTAAAAATTTGTCGGTTTTAAAATATACCATTACTATTTACTATTTGAAAATATGCCATTATAATTTCACACATTGAAAAGATGTCACTCCTTATCCCTTGGATGCATTTCTAAAAATAATTGGACCAAAATGCCCCTTTTCCCTCTTCTTCCTTCTTCCCCTTTCTCCTTCCTCCTCTCTTCCTTCTCAGGTCTCAGCGGTGCGTCGGCGGCAGCGGCGGCGAGCATAGCGGCGGCAGCAGCCGCGCGGCGTGGCCCGGCGGCGGCGGCAACACGAGCAGCAGCACGAGCAGCGCGGCCCTGCGCGACGCGGTGGAGAGCGGCGGCAGCAGCAGAGGCGTGGCGTGGCCCGGCGGCGGCGGCGGCCGCGGTGGCAGCAGCAGCAGCAACGCGACGCGGCGTGCGGCAGCAGCAGGAGCAGGCCCGACGGCGAGCGGCGGCCGCAGCAGCGGCGCGGCCCGGCGGCGGCGGCAGCCGCGGTGGCAGCAGCAGCAGCAACGCGACGCGGCGAGCGACAGCAGCTGCGCAGCCAGCGGCGCGAGCAACAGGAGCGGGGGAGTGAGTGGCGCGGCGGCAGGAATGCCGGCGGAGCTCCATCGTCCCCGTGCTTCCTCGCCGAGCTCCATTGTCCCCGATAGCCGCGGCTAGCCCGACAACCTCCGCAGCTTTGCCGCCGGCGCGATGGCGTCCCTCCTCCTCCCCATCTACCGATACAACCCCACGGGAGCCGGCCGGGGTCCACGCTCGGCGGCGACGTCGCCGGCGGAAAGACAGCGGTGCTAGCGAGAGAAGAAGACGAAAGGGCATTTTGGTCCCAAAGAAATAAAAAATGCACTGAAGAGGTATGCAATGGCATATCTCTAATACCTATAAAATTATAATGACATGGATTCAATCAACCCTTTTTTCAATCGCGTTGGGCACCTGGGCTGGGAGTATTTGATTTCGGGGCTGGATATCAGCATATGCCGTTGAATTATCTGTTGGTAAACCCAGAAAACACTAAGATGAGAGCCTGATCGATGTCAGTTGTCAGACGCTAGTAAGGGCTAATATAGCCAACCGTTGACTGCATAGATCTTTACAGTCTAATTTTTAGCCAACTCATATAGAGGTTAGCTCTTAACTATAAATATATGGTCCACATGTCTCTCTCATAAATTTTCTTGGTTCTTGTGCCTAATCATTGGTCCCACATGTCATAGGGGGTGTTTGGAAACTAGGGACTAAACTTTAATCCCTCTCACAAAACAATAAGTCCCTACTCTCTCCCAAACACCCCCATACATATATGGTTTTTTAGAGTTCGTGCTGTAACTGGTTACAAATCTGCAGTCCGCTTATCTTCTCTCTCCTCTCTTATCTCCTCCACACATAAGCTTCTAGCTGACTTATAGTCTATTATGGTACCTGCTCTAAAGAATAATGAAAAGAAATAAAAATAATACCAGATCAATGTGAATTCAATGGCTTCATGAAACTACTCCGTATAAGCCAGCCAAGGGCGAAGCCAAGATTAGGGATTAGGGGTGCCATCTATCAGATGAGAGAGCTCACTTGCGGCTCGATGGATAATGCTGTAGAGTGAAATGTGTGGTCAGCATCATGCATATCATAGCAATTAGTGGAAGAGGAAGATATACCCAATCGTCTCTTGTTTATATTATATATGCGCAATTACGTAAGATATGTCTAATCACTTCTTTTATAATTATAGAAATTATGATTGTTGATGTGGTTTTAGACGTATCTGTCTACTAATATATGGACGATCACTAATTTTAAATTAGATCATTAGACTATTAGTACGAATTACCCCCTGAACTATTGCGGTAGTACGATTTACCCTCATAAACTACAATACCGGACATTTAACACCCAAACTCTTAAAACCAGATAAATTATCACCCTAACTCGATTCTAAGCGGTTTTCAGCCTACGTGGCACACACGTGGCGATACAGTCAGCAAAAACAAATAAAACCGGTGGGCCCACCTGTCATCTTTTTTTTTTCTCTCCTTCTCTGCCTCTCTCTCTCTCTAGCAATCGGCGGGCCTCGGCGCTCGGGAAGTGGAGGCCGCCGACGCCGCCGTGGCGAGAGAACGGCGACAAGTGGTGCGGCGCCGGCGGGCGCGGATGGAGCCAGGACGACGACGTCGTCGTCGTCGCCACTTGCGCCGCGAGTTCTCGAGGCGATGGCGTGGCGGACGACGAGGCCATCATGGGCGTCAGCGTGCGGAGCAGCGACGTGGAGGCGCCGTCGGCCGGGCTGGAAGAAGTCCTCGGAGAAGACCTGCTCCACGCTCGCCTGCAAGCCGCCGCCGCCGCCGCCGTAGTTCTCCGCCGGCGCTGTCGAGAAGCCGACCTCGATCTCGACGCTCTCGCATCCCATGAACGCCGGCATCTGCACGCCACCAAGAATGGCCCATGTCAGCTTCATCCATCTCGATTTCTCAGCAAGAACAACACGATCATCGTACGAAACAATATTATGAAATGGATTACGAACCTTAATGCATTGCCAGCTTCCTGATCGAAAGAACATTATCACAATTCACAAAAGATCATACGAATTCGTTAGTAAATCCATAAATTTCTCAGGTGTTTGATCAACTAATGGAACCCAAATTGAGCAAGGAGCATGTGAATCAAGCAGATCGAACAAGTGCATGCACTGGTGAGTTCCGAGTTCTGAGTATGCGGCCGAGGGCGGAGGGCGGACGTGGAGGCGGCCGCAGGCGGCGGGTGAGGAGCCGACGACGGCCGCCGGCGAGGGCGGAGGCGGGTGCGGGCGGCAGGCGAGGATCCGAGGACGGCAGCCGGAGGGAGCGGAGGCAGGGTGACGGGCTCCTCCTTCCCCTTGTCTCGCGCCGCCTGCCGCCTGCCTGCCGCGGACCGTTCGTCTGTCCAGGCCGGCTTCCCCTCGGCGGGGGAGAGGCCCATGGGGGCGGCGAGGGTCGTCGCGGAGAGTGAGGCGACTATGTTCCGCGGCGCGGACTACGCGCTGCCCCGGACGACGGTGGCGCTCGCTGTGGCTGGGCGGCATCCGGGGAGAGAGAGCGACTGGAGAGAGAGAGAGAGAGCACCCAGCGGCCGCTCGCGCCCGCCCCTGCGCCGCCCTGCCTCGCCGCCGCCGCCTCCACCCCCGCCGCTCGCCTCGCCGCGGCGCTCGCCTCTCCGCCCCCTCGCCGCCGCCGCCGCCGCCTCGCCTCGCCGCTGCCTCCTCCGCGCGCTCGCGGCCTCCGCCCCCACCGCTCGCCTCTCCGCCCCCTCGCCTCCTCCGCCGCCTCCTCCGCGCACTCGCTGCCTCCGCCCCCACCGCTCGCCTCTCCGCCGCGCTCGCCTCTCTGCCCCCTCGCCTCCTCCGCCGCCGCCGCCGCCTCCTCCGCGCGCCGCTGCCTCCGCCATCGCCGTCCTCTATAGTTGGCCATGTGGGCCGCCCGGCACGGCACGGCCCAGGCCCGGCAGTGCCTGGGCCGAGGCTTGTCGGGCCGGCACGGCCCGACCGATGCACCGGGCCGTGCCGTGCCAGCCCACGTGCCGCACTAACGGCCCAGGCACGGCCCAACACGCCTCGGGCCGTGCCGGGCCGGCCCGAAGGCACGATGGGCCGTCGTGCTTTTCCTCAGAATAAGTCTAAATTTCCTCCCTCCTATTGGGCTGTGACATATGTACAGCTACAAAAAGTCTATTTTACCTCCCTCTTCTTTGGGCTGGGGTATATAAATAGCTAAAATAAGTCTATTTAAGGTCCCTATTCTTTAGACAGTTACATTTATATGTCTATTTTTAGTCCCCATACTTTATGTACCGGGCCTGGCCTGCCGGCCCATCGTGCCGGGCCGGCCCGACCGTGCCGGGCCAGCCCAGCGTGCCGGTGGGGAGGCCCAGGCACGGCCCGACGGTCGGGCCGGGCCAGCACGGGCCCGACCCAAGTCGGGCCGTGCCGTGCTTGGGCCGGGCCAAAAAGGCGTGCCGTGGGCCGGGCCTTCGGGCCTCGGGCCTTATGGCCAACTATACCGTCCTCAGGTGGAGAGAGAGAGTGAGAGATAAAAGAGAGAGAGACTGACAGACGGGCCACCTATTTTTTAATAAATAAATTGTTGACTTGACTGCCACGTAGACCAAAACCACCGCGGATTGGGTCGAGGAGGGTAATTTGTCCGGTTTACGTAGTTGGGGGTGAATAATGTTTGGTTTTGTGGTTCAGGGAGTAATTCGGACGACTACGATAGTCCGGAGGTAATTCGTACTTTTTCCTAAATATAAATACAACAATATATTTAGTATATGGATGATTCAGTATCACATCATTTCATCATTTTAATTTGAGGTTTGCAACCACGTATAACTTTTGTTAGTTAACCCATGTAACAATTTAAGCTAAAATCTAGGCAGCTATATAGTTAATCTAAGCTAAAGCCAACTGTCGAGAAGATAAAAGAGAAGAGAGAAAAGTAGCGGGTTATATATTTATAGCTAATTGCGGTACAGACTCCAAGATATATGTGTGTATAACATGTGGGACCAAGTATAAATTATGTAGTGCATGTTTATAGATAAAGATTATATGAGTTAGCTACTAAATTGATTATAGATGATTTGAAACGAGTAGTTGGCTATAATATTAAACTTGCTCCTAGAAGAGGTGATCATGTTGGCTAAGTTCACAATCAGTTTTTAGAGTCTAACATGCACAGGATGCTCACCACGGTGCGCATTGCGCAGTAGTGTGCAGGTACTTCCACACTCCATAGCGTCGGCGTTTGTCCCGAACGGAGACGGCGCGCACCGCGTCTGGGGACGAGAGCACGATCGAGTGTGGCCGCAATGCCAATTGCAAGCCTCAGCGATACGACGGTCCCATTTCACGCGCGCGTGAAGTCGTGTTGGTTTGTGAATCGTGATGCCACTGACCGACGTACGCGCGCGGTGCTCTTCTCGTCGGCGGCCTCGGCTGTACTACATCTACATGCGGACGTAGCCGGGGAAAGCTGCCGACCTAGTACCGTTCATCGGGGAGACAACTAGACAAGCCGGTCTATCCGTCTATACCGTGTACCCCTTCCACAAGACCATAACACCGTGGTCTCCACATTTAATGCAACGAGTTGAATATAATGGCAAGAATTGGCCATTGCCAAAATTTTTCGCAAATGACTAGCATTTGTTTGGTTTGCTATCCAAGTTGCATCTTAACATTAAACTAGGTAATTTGGCAAGACGAATAAAAAAAGTAATTTGGCAAGACAATTTTTTTGGTACAAACCAAACAAAACGGAGTTTTTGGCTTGGTTAAGATTGGCTGCGAACCAATGAGGCACGGTATGATCAATCATCCGAAGGCACGCCCTAACTAAAGTTACCATCGAGTCAATCAAAATTTACCTACTCAGTCGACAAGATGAGAATTTAGAAGGTTTTCCATCCATAATGCATGCTTCAATGTTTTGAGTACTTCGAACCGACTAGCATCACAAACCAAACTTCATGAGATTGGCAATCGCTCAATGTGCCACTACTCTAAGAGGAGAGGAGTCAAACAACTCTTCGGTACTGTTCGACGACAAGGCTGTCAGTCTTCTGTGTTGGACGGGGGTCCGCTCCCTGAGTCCGCGTTCTTCACTTGACAAACCACAACATGAACCGGTGGAACCACAACATGAGCCGGTGGTCCATCTTGGATCGAATCCATTCGAGCCTCAAACAGCTCCAGGGCTGCTTCGGCCGCTGTTGTAATCCCAGCATATACAATATGCTGTTCCTTATCTTCTTCCCCTGCAGTGGCTGGAGGTGAAGTCATAATTAGAACTGGTGATTGGTTTCCATACCCCCCAAATTAATGTTGCTAAGATGACTTATGATAATGTTGCGTACTAGTAATAAAAATCTATTGAATCCTAATAATCACAAACCAAACAAGGAGCAAACAAGAACTAATCACATACTGTGTACTCCAATTTAGCACAGTTTTGAGTAAAGGCAAGTTGAGTGCCACTACTAATACGACATGCCACAACTTTGCGCAGGAGTTTCAGTATTATACAGACATACAGTGACTTCTCAATTTGTGTGAACATTTAACATAACGGAAGCTTCTTTAGAAAAACAAAAAAAATGCACGAGATAATATCCATTATGCCATCTCAGTCCTAGTGCCTAGTACAAATAATGTTGCATACGAGTCCTATTGCAGTTGCAGTTGCAGAGAATGACGCTAGTACACTGCAACAAACACAACATGAGCACGAGGTGTACGCAATGCAGCAAAACGCACTTCCAAGCAATAAACAAGAAGTGCAAAATAATAAACAACAAGAACAACGTAGAATTTCGAAATTCGTATCACCTTGTGTTGGAGCAATTGGAAGGGGTTCCCATGGAGAGAACCATTCGAGAAGTGCCCCCCTGATGGCCACAGATGCAAGAATGTTTTACCAGTCTTCTTGTGAGGTGGAATCCCACTAGGTGTTGCTGCATAAAGAAGTAGAGCACGCTGGCATCTTGCCGGTCAAGCACACTGATCACTGGTGGAGCTCCCCTCTGCAGACCAAGAGCATGGCATATCGTGTCCCAAATGACTGACATAGGAGTCACTGTACAAATCCAGACGAGAACATTGCCCTCAGAAGGTAATCCCCCAGGATGTCCAGATACAGCCACGTATGTGATCTTGCCCTCGCTGACGCAAACACTAGAAAGAGTTTCAACCTCCTCTGCATGCAAGCCATCTGGAAGTAGCGTCATACTGAGCTCTTCTTCTCCCTCAGCACTGAAATCACAAGACAGCAACCCGCGGCACAAGTCGACCCACCAAATCTTGCCCTCAAAAAACGAATGAAATGTTACTGTTCCATGGTAAGTGGATGGGGCATGTGAGTGTCTTCATAGACCATACTCCGGAAGCAGAACTGAATTCCCAAAGCTGTGCCTTATTACTGTCAGCCTCGAGAACCAGTTCCATGACTGAGTAACTACGCGCGACGACCCCTTCGTGATTGTGCACGACAAGAGCGAAGTTGGTCAGCCCGGGGTTGGTGTTGCGGTCGGGCAGGAAATCCGCCGCCGCAGAGAACGTGTCAATCACGTAGAGGCAGGGACCTATGCGGGAACCACCCTTGTCGCCGGCGACGAACGGGCCCCCGCTGCCGCTGCCGCTGCCGCTGTTGCTGCCGCTGCCGCTGTGGTCGAACAGGACACGGGCGGAGTAGGCGTGCACGAGGATGACCCCAGAAGCGTCCGCCGCTAGGACGAAGGGGGCGAACGGGCCGAGGTCGCCGGAGAGGAAGCGTCCATGGGCGGAGATCTGCGGTGGCGCCGCCGTGAGGTAGGCACTGGATAGATGAGGTGGCGCCGCGAGGGAGAGGGAGCTGATCCGTGGCGGAGCCGCGAGAGCGAGGGAGAACTCCGATCCCTTGGAGGGCACGTCGGCCGGATATACTCGTGGGACCCTCCACAGTATCACCCACTGCGGCACCGGCGTGTCCCACCGTGAAGATGGCGGCGCCGGCGCCGGGGGGGGAGACGGGGGCGGCGGAGAAGGAGGGGGCGGCGCCATCCGGGGCTCCGATAGCGCTGTAGCGGTCGATGCGTCCCGAGGCTTAGAGTTGGAGGAGGAATTTTGGATGATTTGTCGGATGGGGGCGGAGCGGAAGCGGTGGGGAGGGTTTCGGAGCGGCGGCGACGGCGAGGACTACGGCGAGGGATAGCGAGGCGTGCGTCTGCGTGGGGATCTGTGGGATTTAAATGGATTTCCGTTCTCCTGTCCACGTGGCTGTGCCGTGTGGGGGAAGAAAGCCTGCCCCCACAGATGCTGAGGTGGTTGTCGACGTGGCGGTGTCGTGCGGTCGAAGAAACCAGTCTGCCCTGGGAGATTTTAACCTGCTGCTGGCCCGATCGGGTTAAAAATAATCAGGTTCTAACGTGTAGTGAATTTGTTCGGGCCTGCACATAACCGTGTACCGCGTTCATCCGAGCGGGTCTCAACTCGTTGACACGTACAGTATCAGTACCAAATGAAGTACTTTACTACAGTTCAACATGTGCACATTCTTGTACACGGTGATTGGTAGTACTAGTAGAGTAGTAGTAACATAGTACTGTAGTAGTACTCCATGTGTCGTCGCCGTCCCCACCTTCGTCCACTTCCCCTTATCCGGAATCTTCCTTCCACCTGGCCTCCCCAATCCCCATGAACCCCGGCGCTTCCACACCCCCCCTCCTCCTCCTCCGGTTGAGATCTCCCTTCGCCGCTGCGCATCCTGGCCCAGGGCACGCAACCTGAATGAGCAAATGCAAGGGAGATCCTGCACATCCATGGCCGGGAGAGGCCAATGCAAGAACCAGATCGGGGCCAAGTTGTTGAGGCTCGGAAACCATCATGTCGCTGCGGCTCGGCACGACGACCTGTTGTCTCCGGATGCGGGGCACGAAGGAACGAGGCGTTCCAGAAGAAGGACGGCGAAATCTCCTCCCGGTGGGTGGCGGACAAAAGCCGACGTCCTCCGCCACCAAGACCATCTCAATGGCGTGGCTGCCGATCTCTAGCCTGCTGTGGAAGCAGTGATGCACATGGCGCACCTTGACAAGCAGACTGCTCTTTACTTGCCGGCGGCTCGGCGCTAGCCGCGGCATCTAGGAGCTCGTCGACCACCTCGATCGGTGCGCTCTCTGGGCGCCCAGTCCGCGTCAGGCTCGCCGTTTTCGGCTCCGTGATGAACCTGATGTCCAACGTCTTTGATTGAAGACGTCATCGAGCCGGGGTCAGAAACGAGGCAGGAGTTCCAGGAGCTCATCGCCGATTCCGTGGCGGAGACGGGCGTCTCCGACTTCTTCCGTTTCGTCAGCGCGCTTGACCTCAGCAGCCGCCGCTGCGCAGCGACTAGGAACCTCAGTAGGTTCTACGATTTCTCGACGGTGTCATTGATCGGCGGCTGGGCGGCCTACAGCCAGATCTTCCGGCTTCCACGGTTCAACCCCGACAACTTCGTCTTCCACCAATCTGTTGCGGGTGGAATCAACTGGGCTGTCTGAGCACTACACGTCTACAACGAGGGCGCCGAGCTCATCGATTCCATGCACGTCGTCCGCAAGGAGGTCGAAAACTGCGATTGCCTCCAAGGTATGCTCCCATCTTCTTGGGAATGGTGAGAATTTGGGTCTTTGGTGCAATTGTAGGGTTCTTTACTCGTAGATCTGGGCATTTTTTACCTGTAGGAGATAGTGTGTCCTCCTAAACATGTAGATCTTTTTGTTCCACACCCTATTTTTATCTTTGGTTTAGCGTTAGCGTTCATTGTGTGAGATGATGTTTGACCTGCTATTTTATGCCGGGTTACAACTGCCGATGGAAAATGTGCATTTAGTTTGTCATTTCTGAGTTTGCTTGCTGATATGATTGGCTTGTTGTCTTGCTTACCAGCAAATGTGGAGCTCTACTTTGATATACTTTGCGCTGCCTTACTTGGAGGTCTTTGTTGGTTGTTGGTTACACTTAATAATGCTAGCTAGAGCTGGAATGGTACTACTGTTCTATGGATATGGAAACTTGTTGGTTAATTGGTGTAATTCAAGTTTGGCTTTGAAGTCAACTTATCGTTTGTTCTACTGCAACCCTTTGATAGTATTTGCTAGGATACATTAGAAAAAAAAATATGTTGTGTACTGATATATAACTGTTGAGTAAATTGTTGTCACATCAGTGGTTAAGTGGTTCACTTCGTGTCAAGCAAAGTGGCACGATTCAACCTGATGTGTTCTGTTTGGTAGTATATATGTATCGGCTACCCTTAAAATTTTGAAAAGAGCTGTGTGCATAATCTTTTTTTCCTGTTCTAATTCCTGGGTTGACTAACAACTGGATACAAACAGTGTGCAATGTATGTATTTTATTTACCAAAGGATTTCATTTCATCTGGGAGGATGAAATGATTCTGCCATTCTGGTATTGGCACCGTACTCAGGAAGGAGTACCCAGATAGTGATGTTGACACTTAGTTTTTCCCTCACCGAAGGTTTCTGACGTTGTGGTGGACCCTACAATGCCACACAATCTATTCATCAGCTCGTTGAGAATGCTGATGGTGCATGGTCCTTGACAATGAAGCTCTGTGAAATCTGCTTCTTCACACTGAAAAGCTTACTACACCCGCTTGTGAGTGAAAACATACCATAATTGGACTACTGTTGCTTGATTACCATACTCTGCTCCCTGTAGTTATTGATCATTTATTCTATCCTGGTTCACTATAGCAGTTCATAATCAACTTACTCTCTTTTGTGGCAGTAATGAAATTGTGTTCCATGTTTTCAATTGTGTATTTTCTGCATCCTTTTCACCACATTAATGAGTACGTTTTGCATGAGTTCAATTATCACTGATACCAATCTGTTGTTGCTGTGTAATCAAAATATTTTGATCTGGGAGGTTATGCTTGGTAGCATACAAACAATTATTATTTATATTATTCAATGAATCACCCCTTCAATACCACTTCAATACCTCTGTGAGCTTAATCTAATGAGATTTTGATGGATCTGTTGCAGTGGTATTGAAGCTAAGTGGACTAATTCTGCCATCCATGAGTGTGGAGAAGATTGTTGCCTTTGTGTCCAATGATTGTTGCCTCAACTTCATCGAGGATAATGTACATTTTTCATCCTGTATTTTCTTAAATGCCTGCTCCATCCCTTATTTATTTTGTCATTATCCAGGACAAGGTATTAGATTGCTGGATTTGGTCGCAAGGGTCATGCTGTGGGAGATATTCTTGGTGTCCAATTCAAAGTTGTCAAGGTGTCTGGTGTGTCTCACCTTCCTCTATCAAGGAGGTGAACATGATGTCTTTAGATTGTTGTTACATTTTGGTTGGCAAGCAACTAGAAAATAGAAGCAAAGGCTGGCTTTTATCCATTATCTATTAAAAAAACTAGAAAATAGACACTATGCTAGCTTTAGATGCTTAAGAAGGATTGTTCCTTGCTATGGTTTAGAGTGCACTCTTTGTATTGTTGTAACTTACGATTGTGTTTATAAAACTATGTCTTGTTATCAGATTTTTCATCTGGCAAAGTACTACTATGCTGAGTTTGCACCAATGCTTTGTTTTGGTACCTGTGTTTGACAGTTTGAGCCTCGATGGTTCAGCTATTAGCTCCGTTCACTGCGTGGATTTGTATTTTGTACTCCCTCCGTCCCAAAATATAAACATTTTTAGCATAGTGTCAAGTCAACTATTTTTAACTTTGCCTGTTAATAGCAATAAAATAAAAAAGATCAATCATGTAAAATTGATGTTACTAGATTTATCATTAATCAAACTATTATAATATACAACTCTTTTTATTTAAAATATTTTATTTTTATAGATATTGTTAGTCAAAGTAACATCTCGAAGATTGTGGCGAGATTTAAAAATGCTTATATTTTAGGACGGATGGAGTACCTGCTTATCATCGACCAGTCACTGTGGAGTTCCTGGTAGCCATACATCCACACCGGTTTACTTTCTGGGACTCGAATCCAGATAGCTGTGCTATGATGCATGAACTATGAAAACAAACGACTTGGTGGCTTCTTGATTTTTGTATCATGAGTTCCGCTGGACTCTGCCGAGCGTTCCTCTAATCTCTATCTAGAAATGGCTTCAAATCAATTGGATATTGAAAAAATGGCTTTCAGATGTTGGTAAAGTTAACAAAGAAAGCGATCTTTAATGATGTTCATATAGGTTGATGTGTAATTTTCAATTCAGTTTCCATGGAACAGCTTTGAGAAATGAGTCACGAGACCCATATCATCTTAATATTCTGATTTGCTTCTGGCAAAAGATTCATTGCGTGGTCAACTAATTATCACAATATGTTCTACATCCATTGTTGTGTAGAACTCTTTAAATACATGTGCTAGCAATGAGTATCATTTTTTTTATAGATAAAAGATTTATATAAAACCCGACCACTACAGCAAGATGGATGTACACGGCCAATAGTTATAGGCCTTGTTTAGATCTCAAAAAATTTTGGTCAAAAACATCATATCAAATGTTTAGACACATATATGGGACATTAAATATGGGAAAAAACCAATTGCACAGTTTGCATGTAAATTGCGAAACGAATCTTTTGAGTTTAATTACGCCATGGTTTGACAATGTGATGCTATAGTAAAAATTTGCTAATAACGGATTGATTAGGTTTAATAAATTCATCTCGCAGTTTACATGCAGAATCTGTAATTTATTTTATTATTAGTTTATATTTAATACTTCAAATGTGTGTCCGTATACTTCAAAAACTTTACACCCAAAAATATGTGTCCGTATACTTCAAAAACTTTACACCAAAGAACTAAACACATCCATAGTATATGAAAGTGTTCAGCTTTCTTGTTCGGTTTTCCCGAATAAACCGAGAATTGGATACGCATGGTACGGAGGTGGCACAGGCCGCGTCCGCACACTGCACGGCGACGTTTAGGCTGGCTGCCGTGGGAATTAGAGCATCACCAAGATCACCAAGAGTATCCCAATATTTCATTCCCAAAACTATTTTTATGGGAATGCTAAACAAAATTTGATGTGCTAAAATATTGATCCCTCCAGGAGATTGTCTAAAATTGACTTTCTAAAATTAAAAGTGGGCCCTCTACGAAACCACCAACTGAATTTTATTTCCGTCTCTCCCTCTGCGAAATCACGGTCACGAACTCCTGATCGTGGCCTCGACAACAGCACATCAACAGCAGCACCAGCTGAAGAATTCAGCAAAAACAGTAGAGAACAATAGCACGAGAACCAGCAAGCAACAACAGATACCTTAATCTTCAGCAAGTGCAACAAATGTAATCTGTAAAAAGAATCACAAGTGACTGACCGATTGAAACTCCTTGATAAAAAAAACATGGCACAAGTTTGAGCAATGGTGCAAGAGCAAAGATTGGGATCATTCACTTGCAGCGCTGAATCACATATCTGTAGCCCGCTTTCTTCTCCCTCTTAAAAAGCACTAGCTCTGTTGGGAGTACTAGTTTCAGATGGACCAGATTATTTTTTGATGATCTCCTCAGATGATAGAACATATTAATAAACAACAATGAAAATATGGCATTAGTAAGAATATATTTGCTAATATAAAATGTTAATTAAAACAAGAAAAGAACATATCACATATGTAAGTGGCAAAATGCATAGGAGTTATTCTGAGCAACATAACTGAGGACAATTCACATGATACTTATTGCGTTTCATGGTCAATACCGCTAGAAAGAAAAATTGATTGTTACAGTAAAATAGTAGCACAGATGAATTCAATGAAAATGAACCTTGGCTGACACTTGCAACCAAAAAAAACAAACTTCTCCCTACCTTGGATCATTACAAGTTGTGGAGAAGCTCACACTAACAGACAGAAGTAACTTCTCAAAATTCTCTAATTGGAACTAGACTCTCAGCATAATTAAATAGATGCAAATCCCTTGCTTCCTTCTCCAAATATGGTTCATAGCAGGTGAAGTCTGAAACCTTTGAAGCTAATTCTACTATTCTACAGGTTTCGATATCATACCTGTAGACCTTTTTGAATGCCAGCAGCAACATTTTTTCACGAAAAACAATTAAAGGGGGTCTTTCTACAGGGTACTTCATAACAACATCAGGTGGAATCTGTATAACATAGCGTCGAGTCCATTCAAGGTTCTGCCCACCACTGCAGTTCCAAATCTCCAGCGCTAGCGTCTCACTGAAAAAGCAAGCACAACACAGTTCACCCTCCACCTCTGTGAAACGGACAGACTTTACATTGGATGGAGGACACGGAAACAAACTGAACTTCTCATCAGTCAAACAGAATCGGAGGAATGCATTAGGTGGATCTGGGCAAAGTGAACTACACACTATCCAGTAGATGGCGCCTTTCACATGGACTGGAGTTAAAGCATCAATTGGATATGGTGGATCTTCAGTTTGCCTCCATGCATTAGTGCCCAGAGTAAGCACTTCAAACTTGCAGACTAATTCTTGTGTTTCACTATCCCTTTGATAGAAAGATCTAGCCACCTTGTATTTGTTGCTGTGAGGATCAAACCCAAATCCAGCCCTTGTGCCTGTGCAAATGTTGCCACTGACTTTTGGTAGGAAAACAATCTGTCTTGTTGAAGGGTTACAGATCATCATTTCGAGGTTCATGGTGGGAATGAGGAGTAAACCATTACAGTGCACAGGGCGAGTCCATACACCAATGCCTAGCGGAAAGTTCTGCATATGGACCAGTTCCATTGTTTTACCTCCATGGTACTTATAGAGGACCATCATGAAGGCGATATTCTCACCGTCCTCCTGCTTCTCATAAGCACCAGGGACCATGAGTATCGATGGGTTTCTCTTGGAACACTCAAGGTGAGCATCAGTGAAACACGGGCTGGATATCATGGCATGCCAAGCCTTGCACACAGACTTAAATCGGATGAGAGACTTGGATGGCAGCCATGACAGGATGTTGAACATCACATCATCAGGGATGTAATGGGGCATGAACCTCGACCAAGAGTTGATAACAATGCGCATCACCTTTCGCGGCCGAGTAGTCACCAGATTGTTTCGCTGCCATGACAACAATCTCTCAAGCTGATCTGCAGAAGATGACGAGGAGATAGGTTATGACTTTGCACTTAAAAAGGAGTTATTAAATATATATATATATAGTCTGGTCACCGAGGGGAGAGCTTTTCCCCACTTATAAAGGAAGTATTGGCCATGCAAATCGAGCTAGGCATCCGAACTTCGATCCGATTGGGACTAGTAATTCCTCAACCCGATTCTAAATCCTGTTCGGAGTTGCCAGGCAGCGGCGGTTTCTTCACAATTCACAAAATAAACCTTTTATCTTTATCTCTTTCGGTCAAGTAAAGCTGCAGAGGAACTAGGACAATACAGAAAAAGCTAGCAACTGTTACCAAGGGAGAAAAACTGAATCTTGCTGAGGCAAACATGAAATTAACAAAAACTTATGAACTAGAACGGTGCAGATAAACTTTATCTGCTATTAGAGAACTCACCGGCCGCCGTCTTGGCCGCGGCCCCCTTCGGCGCCGCCCGCGCCGGCGATGGTGGTTCGCGACGGCAGGGAGCGCCCTCTCGTAACTCCGCCTAAGTCGCACGGCGAGCGGATTCCTGGCTTGAGAGCCTGGGAAGGGGATGGCCGCCTCAGGTGGACCCCGCGCGCCGGCGCCGGCCGCTGGCCGAGCGACGGAGGAAGGTCGGTTTGCGTGGTCGCGTGAATAGCGAGCGAGATTTGGGGATTCTCGAGGAGGAGAAAGGAAAAGGTACACCGAAGGTCCCTCAACTTGTCACGTCCTCGAAACCGCAAAACCAGATATACGGGGTCCATTAACTATACAAAACCAGTCATAATAGGTTTTATCACCGGTTTTGTCCTACGTGGTGGCTGAGTCAGTATGGGACCCACGTGAGCCCCACATGTCAGCGTGATCCACATCATCACCTTCCCTCTTTCTCCTCTTGTCTCTTTATGGGCGAGGCAAAGCGGCGGTGCAGAGGCCGGCAGGTGAGGCGGGCGAGAGGAGGGCGGCAGCGCGACGGCGGCCGGCTGCAGGTGCGTCGGCACGCAGTCTTCGGCGGGCGGCTGCAGGTGCAGAGGCCGGCAGGCTTCGGCCGGCGAGAGGAGGGCGGCGACAGACACGGTCGGAGGCCACCTCGCCAGCGCCGCCAAAGCCGCCGACGCCCGCGGGTTTCCCCCTAGCCGCCCTGCCCCAGCTTCCCGAGTCAGCTCATCGCCGTGAAACTCGTCGTCGCCCACGTCTGTGTTGAGGTCGTTGCCGAAGGAGCCAGAGACTGAACTACGCCGCTGTCGCCACCCTCGCCGACCACACGTTCAGGCTCGCCTTCACCCCGTAGAACTGATCCCCCATCACGTACCCCATCGCATGCTGCATCATCGTTTTCATCAGCTCATGAATAATCTCAGCTAATTAATTACACTCTTAATTCAGTTCGTTGCCAACTCGCCATCGCCATTGTTGCCATTGCCCATTGCTACTGCACCAGCTGTGCAGCACAACGTATACTATACTCCTACTCGATCATTTCAGCATGTAGTAACTTATTCAGACCGGCGAGTTGACTGACTGACCTCGTGGCCGTCGCTGGTGGAGTCGCGGCGGACGATGCCGGCGGCGCATGGCTGCTTCATCCCGAACCGGATGGCGGAGCTTGACCTCAGCACGTCGCGCCTCGTCGTCCGCCGCACCGGGACCGTCCTCTCCGGGCACGAGTGCACAACTCGCCGCTGTCCGTCCATGCCTGTGGGAACACGGCCTCCTCCTCCTGCTCCGCCGCCGCCGCCGCCGCCGCCGCCGCACCGCCGACTGCTCGGTCACCTCGGGCTTCTGTCCTCGCAGCTTCGGGTGGTCGAACGCCGGCTGCAGGTGCGTCGGCACGCAGTTGATGACATAGCCGTCGGGGCCGCCGCGTCGCTGTGTTTCCGCTGCAGCCGCCGCCGCCGGGCACCGGCCACCGTCGCGCAGCCGCGCCCTCCTCTCTCCTGCCTCGCCTGCTGGCTTCGGCCCCTCTGCACCCGCCGCTTTGCCTCACCCAGAAGAAGAGAAGAGGAGAAAGAGGGAGGGTGATGACGTGGATTACCCTGACATGTGGGGCCCACGTGGGTCTCATGCTGATTCAACAGACACGTGGGATAAAACCGGGATAAAAACCACCGAGGGACCTTTTGTGTCCGGTTTTGATTAGTTAAGGGACGCGGGATATCTGGTTTTGCGGTTTGAGGATGATACTGTATCTCGATGACAAGTTGAGGGACCTTGGGTGTACTTTTTCCGGAGGAGAAACCACCTCTTGCAAAATATAGTCGAATTGGGAAATAGAAAAAGTTCGCTTGATGTCCCTACCTCGTTGTTTTTAAGTTGGAAAAAGTATGAATTATCTCCTGAACTATCGCGGTCAACCGAATTGTCCCCTGAACTATAAAATCGGACATTCTTTATCTCCAACTATACAAACAGGATGAATTATCCTCCTCGACTCAATCCGCGGTGGTTTTGGTCTACGTGGCATACGCGTGGCAGTCCATTCATCATTCTATTTATTAAAAATGTAGGACCCACCTGTTATATACTCATACTCTCTTTTCTCTCTCACTCTTCATCTCTCTTCTCTCGATGGAGGAGGATTTGGTGGGATCGAGGTCACGGCGGCGGTCAAGGACGGAGGAGAGGTCCCTGTAGCCGGCGGCGGTCAAGGACGGATGAGAGGTCCCTGTAGCCGGCGGCAGGCGTCCATCGTCGGCGCGGGATCTGGGTGGGCGGGAGGCAGCAGCCGCGGAGGAGCTGGCCGGCGGTGCAGGTGGGAGAAGCTGCTGCCCTAGTCCTCCCTACGCGCACGCCACCGAGATGGAGGGGGGAAACCGTGCCGAGCTCCGTCCGCCCGCACGCGCCGAGAGGAAGGGGAGTAAGCCGCGCCGAGTGGCCGCCTCCCCCGCACCGAGCTCCGTCTGCCCCAAGCACCGTCCGCCCGCACGCCGCTGAGAAATAAGGGGAAGCCGCGCTGAGCGGCCGCCTCCTCATCCCCTCCCCCCGGCTGCCGCCGCCGCCACTCCATCCTCATCTCCGCGAGATGAGGATGCAGAGGGGAGAGAGATGAAGAGAGGGGAGTGGAGAGAGAGAGAGGAGAAACAAGAGGAGGGGATTGAGAATGACAGGTGGGGCCATGTGAGTCCCAACATTTATTATTATTATGTGTACGAAACTGACACATGGGTACTATGGGTTTTATTATTTTTCCATATTGAATAGCCATGTAAGCGCCGCGTCAGATGAAGACAGAGTTAAATTAGCCATATAGGCACCATGTTAGCTAAAACAGCCGTCCAAATCGCCATGAGACCTATATTGCACCAGTTTTGTATCTAGTTTTCCTGTTAAAGGACGACGGATTTGTTGAGAAGCTAAGGGACCTAGGATGAACTTATTCCATTGGAAAACACGTAAAGCCTCGTGCCCTCGTCCAACAACGCGGGCCCCCATTCCGGCCCACGTGAATCGCAGCCCTGTTCCAGCCTTCCTAAATACAGGCCGCATGTGAGCCGCGGGCCCGTTCAGGCCCAACTAAACATAAGCCGAACGTGACATACTGACGTGAACCAGAGTCTCGTTCCGGTCCGGCTGGTCTGTACGGTTTGTAGAATCATGCGGTAATGAAGACACAGTGGGATCGAGATACTATGGCTGTGTTTAGTAAAAGTTTGGTTAAAATTGGTACGAGGTAATAGAAAAGTTGTGTGTGTATGAAATGTTTAATGTGATGGAAAGTTAAAAGTTTAAAAAAAACTTTAGAACTAAACAGGGCCTATAAAAATTAGGGTAGCGGGATTGGTATCGTTTTGACTCGATAGTTACAGGATACGGATCGGGACAATAATATGAAACGGATCGGTATACTAACGACTTACTTTTGTAGCGGGCCCGATTGTCATATCCGCACGAGCCAGAGCCTCGTTCCGGTCCGGCTGGTCTGTACGGCCCGCTCACATAAGCTCGGAACGAACGAGAGGCGCCGCACGCGCACCGCCCTGACACTCGAGCACCGCGACGCGAGCGCCTGGGCTACCGGCGGCGGCGGCGGCGGCGAGTCGGCGACGACGTCTTCTACCGCGGGGGGTCACACGAAGGCCGGCCAGGCCAACCTCCGCCCGCAACGCAACGCCCTAGCTGCCTGCCACACGGTCTCGGCCTCTCTCGGGCGGCCGCACGCACGCCACGCCACGCCCACTCGCCTCGCTTCTCGGCCGCGTCGCGCGCCGCCGCGTGGCGTAGCCTCCCCCCTCTCCAACCTTGTTGTTCCTCGCTCCTCCTCAGTGCGGCTTCCTGCGTGCTCCAGGCCCCGTGACAAGCGCGGGGGGAGGCGGCCCACATGGATCTCGAGGCGGGGTCAATCCGACCCCGCAGCGACGGCGAAGGCGGCGGTCCGGCGGCCGGCAGGGAGACCGATGTGAGTGTCCCCGTGGGGAAAACCCCCACCCTTTTCTCTTTCATGTGCAGCAATGTTCTTTTATCGAGTTCTTAAGTTCTTCTAATCATATATGGTAATTTGTTGCGGTTCACCCAATACGTCTCGTGATTCCTGTGCGCTTTCTTGCCATGGAACTCGCTCCATTGTCTGCAGGTTTAAGGCCTGAACAGAACACTCGTGCTGTTTATTGCGAGTTTCTGACAAGAGAATAAGATATTTGCATGGAAGAACATGCATCTTATTACAATATTACTGTACGAATGATCAAGCATGTTTATGGTTTAGTTGGTCAATGTGATGCAGACATGTGCTCATGTAGAGAACTAGAGATGGTGTAGATTTTATTTTGTATGACATCGTTGCGTTCGACTTGTCGCCCCATGCTGTAGAGCCGAGGGTGTTGGAAATTCTGACTTTGGCTGCTGCTGCTGCAAACGACTGATGATAGCTTCGTGTCTCATTTTTCTCTAAGCTCGTGCTCTTCTTTTCCCAGCCTTTTCTGGCCGGCTTTGGTGACAACTGAGAAATTAATACTGATTTTGTTTCGTTTATTTTCGAATACTGGATATGTGGTAGTGGTACTTCAGAATAGTCCAAACAGATAGATATAACGCGAGGCATGTGTTGTTTGTTTCTTTGGAAAAATGACTAATATATTTTGTCTTGGTGTGGAATAGGGGAATATTTTCCTTTTTCTTGTATCCTTTTTTTTTGTGGATGATAATTTCACATTCACTCACCCCCTCCCCCTATCTTCAATGCAGAACATGGTGAATGTATTAATAGTATTGTTTGTTCAGTTAGCTGCATCCTTTTGCATAGCTATCCAAAAACTGAAAAGTGTTATTGTGAATGAAACACGGTAGCTGCAGTGGATATGAAGGAGCTGCATGCAAGCTTGATTAGAATATTATTTTGCATTTTAAGTGAAGTTTTTAAAAAGATCTTCAGGTGATTAAGTAACCAGATTGTCCCCTTCCTTTGAATTTGGATGTATCTGATCATTCTGCTGCTGATTATTTAATGTTTTAAGATATCTGACCATATAAGTATCAGAAGGGATGCTCACCCCCCCCCCCCCCCCTGATGATGATGTCACGAATGCTTGCATCATCAGGCTCTGTTTCCACATCCCTACAAGTATCCAATGTAATCAGATGTGAACCAAGAAGACCTGTATGCATTACCACGTGGTCAACGGGACCAGTCCCACAGTACCCATCAGCATAATAAATCTTAAATTTTATTATGTAATTTGTGTTTTGCTTGACTGCATTGACTTGCTATGAGTAGGTCTGATCA